AAAAGTTATATATATATATATATATATATATATATATATATATATATATATATATATATATATAACTTTTAAATATTTCAATAAGAACAACAATGACAATAACAATTTTATCAACAGTAGGCGTATCTACCACTGAACTTACCACTGAACCTAGCACTGAACCTACTACTGAACTTACCACTGAACCTACCACTGAACTTACCACTGAACCTAGCACTGAAGCTGGAACAACAGAGGGATCTACGACCTTTCAGCCTACTACAGAAGGTATAAATTTCCGTAATTCAGAAAAACAATAAAAACACTTTGCTGTGAGGGAAGGATGTGCCTTTATCTTGTGTATGTGTAACTTATAGTGCAAGCAGTATGTTTTCTTTGCAGTTTAGAGTTGAAAAAGTTCAATGAAGCATTGCAGTCTTTTTTATTTCTACTTATTAAAAAAAATTGATAATAGTAAAAAATAAAGGGTAACAATACTTTTCGTATTTTTATATCTTTACACGATAAAAGAAGAATCTTGTGGAATTGACACCATTTTGATGAACAATACGTACTTTGCCGCCGGACAAGTACTTGAGAGTAGGCCTACTAAAGTGACCAGTGAAGCAGTTTGTCGTCGTTTCTGTGTTACCAACCCTTATTGTGCCACAGGGACTTTTAATAAGAGGACAAATCTGTGCTACCTCTCATCGCAACAAATCAGAAACACAGGTATCAGTTTACGTGAGCCTAATTTCAAATATTTACTAAAGGCGGTAGCGCGTGACGTCATCCTCAGGTTCTTGGCTCGGTTGGCCGGCAAAAAGCTGGGGCTCGTTGACTATAGAAATAAGTTACATGCAATCCAATTGAAAATATTAAGTTGGAATTTCGCCAATATTTCATGGCGCTGTGCCACACAATCAATGTCAACTCGTTCAATAACATCAGGAAGGATACAATTTATGCATAGCCAATACTCTTAGGCTGTAGCCTACTCCCAGAGCTTTTAGATCGATCTATCCCCGCGGGGAGTCTCACTAGATTATTGTCAGATAATCCGGCTTAAATGTCCGTCCCGCCTACTACAAGCTATAAGGGGGTAATTAACTTTCGTGTCCGCTCGGCTGACAGCTATTTAGCGTGAACCCCCAGGGAGTTAGGTCGATCTAAAGTAGATCGATCTAATCTCTGGAAATGGGGTCTTACACGTCGGCTGTTGCGTATCTGTATAGTTGCAAATGAAATGTTTAGGCCTTTATGACATGTAAAGAGATGGGATTGCCAGCTAAAACACTGGGAATTTCTCCTTTTCTTCGCTACACTGCATCTTGGACATAATAACGAATTATGCCCAAGACTGCATGAACACCCGACACCTAGGGCTTCATTCACATGCAATGTCTATTTTCTAAATTCTATTTTCTATTCGCGGTATGTCTTATGATCGCGGTCTGTGCCCTGGCGTAATTACTGGCAGCGCGAGCCAGTTACTATAAGTTACTATAAGTAACTGGCTCGCGCTGCCAGTAATTACGCGGCGGGATATTCAGGGCACAGACCGTGATCATAAGATAGCGCGAATAGAAAATAGATTTTTAGAAAATAGACATTCCATGTGAACGAAGCCTAGGTGTTACCGAGTCCGAAAACAGCCAGAAGTGACGCACGTGCTACCCACACCTGCCCCTTAAGCTAAATGTTACTAGTACCGGTAGATTTATAAGTGGCGGTCCGCAAAAGTTCCAGGGTCGTACGATATTGTGGGAAAATAGAATTGCTGTCTAATATATATATATATATATATATATATATATATATATATATATATATAAATTTAACGTCAGAATGCAGATTTATGTCAACAGGGTCGAGCCGAATGGATACTTCGTTCAACTGAAATAGGCCTTAGTTTTGGTTAAAAAGAGTAATCAAAATACAGTGATTCTTTCCTAGTGCGCCAGGCTGGCTGGTCGGCGTTCATAAAGTCGGACGGGTGCCGGTGTGAGATGGTGAACTATACTGTCCAGGACTTCATGTTTGTCGTTACGCCTGGAAACCCCATGGGTAAGTTATCTCGATCAACTTCTGAGATGTTTTCGTGAGCTTTGCTGTTCTTATGATTTGTTTTCAAAATTCCCGGTCCCGTGGAACCTTAAAACAAATTCAACTTTGGACAATTTTAGATGGTCCTTAATACCAATTGCAACAGAAATATACTCCTTTGAATATTAAACTCGATCTAAGCTGATTATTGTTGAGGTTCCCGCCCAACTAGGAATTTTTATGTATTCGCAACGACAAAGTATCGCGAAAACCATAATGTCTGACTTTACCCTCTACCAGTGCCACAGATTGATACTTCACTAGAAATTCACAGATACATGTAGTTCTTCAGTTATATTATGGAACTCTTCTGCTCGTCAGAAAAAAGTGCACATAATTATCTGCAACCCTGGTAGAGGGTTGTCTGATTTAGGCTCTTAACAAAATGTGCGGATGGAGCTATTTCTGTAAATTGCTGGCGGTTGTGTCCCCGTTCAGGGCATACTGCCAGTAATTTTTATATCTTTCTGAACTTAATTAATATTGTGCCGGAGCGGCTTTGAGTCATGAATATACAGCATTTGGTAGTCTGTGCATGAAAGTTGAGGAAGCAGGATACTGGATTTATTCATTTTGCATGTCTATTTTCATGTCTTTTTTCCTCAATTTTTCAGGAATCAAAAAAAGATTTGTTTACGCGTCGTCGTCAGCAGATTGTGCCAATAAATGTCTGGTGGATAGCGCATGCGCCGCCTCACAACACAACATAAACGAAAACGTAAGTTCTCAAAAGTAAAAAAAAAAAAATGTTGAAAGAGTTCATCGGATATGTACTGTCAGAGAAAGAACTGTCGAGGTCTGGTCATTTCCAATCACTTAACCCAACCCCTTTGTAAATTATTATCCTCTCTCCTCCCCTCCCATGCACTGTACAGTACATAAATTTGTTTCATACACGCATGCTATATACTGATAACTATACAATTTTGCATTGTAGATTTGCGAACTCTTTGATCAGTTGCCACAGATTATCAGTTCCTGGTTCGACGTTATGATGTTCGTCAAAACCCTCGGTTGTTCTAACAATTAGGTGCTACTGTCACCCACTACGTCTCTTCCCACATAGAATCCAACTGGACTGGAAACGCGCGCGGTGTCCCTCCTTTGAACAAAGCGCGTTACAGACAAGCATAGCCCATAGTTCTTTGCAATGGGCTGCGTCCTTTGTGCGACTATGAAACTGGTATCGCTGTGGTCGTAGAAAGGAGGCACAAGCATCGCTCTGGTTGTAGACTGAATGCTCAATGACCGGCACTATGGCATTTTCAATGGGACGGTTTCAAATGTTCCGCACCGTGGTCACAGTAGAGAGGATGACGAAAGCAATATATATATAACTATAGTTTCATTTTTAAAAGGATAGATAAGAAGTGGGGCTAATTGGGTCTTTTATTTATTTATTTATATAAAGATACTACAGGTCCGTAGCCAGCAATTTCAGAGGGGGGGTCGTTTTCTGAAAAAGTGGACCTTTTACCATAAAATCCTCAAGTACATAGTCATAGGTCAAATTTTACCCAAGAGTGGACCTTTTCCCAGCAAAAAGGGTGGTTCTTTCGAACCCCCCTGGCTACGGGCCTGTACTACCACTTATCAAAAATATGGTTGTGACCAAATGATTGGTGTTTCAGCGTATAGCAGCAAGTATCGAAGGCGCTCAATATGAATTAAATAAACTACTACTTTCTTCTATAGCGTTAGTTTTTGCATTAACACTGAGTAACTGCGACATTCAGAGTATACTGAATAGAAAATCTTTAAATATTTAAATTTTAAAAGAATGATGTCATAACTACAATGTATGAGATCGACCTTACTCTGCAAGTAAATATTTATAAGTGTATAATAATTAAAAAATCCTGAAAATTTCAGTCATTTTTCCTTTATCATGGTATACCACACACAAAACCATTTGCAAATTTGTGCCCTAAAGACACGAAAGCTTGAAGTTGCTTAATTTTGTGCCACGCTTGTAATGGGTTCGGAAACCAGAACTGTTTTCCACCCTTGACTCGGTTGACTGTAAAAATTAGAATTTCGTAGTTCGAAACCTGGTTTATAGTTCAATATTTTATCAATGGTTTTGCTTAGGAAATACCCTGGTAAAATTTATTCCATTTTCATATATTTTTTAATTGGTAAAATATGCAATATTAAGATGCTCCACAGGCCCCCTTAATATACCATAACATAATGGGCTAAAATGCCTAATGAACAGCATTGGCATGTTCATGTTTTTCTTCTTAGCATCCTTAAATTCCAACAACACATACTAGTGGATAAATTTACACCAGTCCAGGGACCCATTTCACTTAATGTAAAAAAGCATATTTCGGTCTGAGCACAGATTACTGTTACAGTAGTTCCTGACTTGGTAATGTTTCGAAAATAAAAAAAGTCAAAAAAGGTTGTATTTTTTTAGTATTTTCACTGCGCAATTTGAGAATAAACTGATTATTTTGACAATATTTCATGATCTTAGTGACGACAAAAGACCTCTGGCACAATGTTTTAAATAAAGCAACTTTTAAGATCCCCTCATGATGCAACTGAGCCACCTAAAATCTTCTGTATTCTCCTCAAAGAGCAGTTGGTGAAATAAGATCTCATTTAAAACAAGGAGCCCTCAGCCTTGACCCAATTACAGATCATTGTGTTTCAAGCATTATCATAATTCCTTCCAAGTTAAATGGGCTCAGTTCCAGTCATTGTCATCATCACTGTTCGTATCATTAATTGTGCTTTGTTTTATAGCAATGTTCATGACGTCCTTGACCTCTGGTTTGGGAGGGGCCTCCAACTCCGTCTCAAGGACTCCTGCCTTGGCTAACATCCACTCCAACTCTGCAATAAAAATATTTTTATTTATATAGCCACCTTTAAAAGACAAATGAATAAAAAACAAATAAAATATATGAGTTAAAATAAGATAGAATAAAATGAAATACATAAAAATTACACAGAGCATATAGAAGACAGTTAAAAAGATTTTAAAAGTAGTCCCACAAGCATGTATTTCTTAGATTGTCTGTCCTGATAACTGGGACTATTGACCAAAAAAGTCAATGTGTCAGCTCAATATAAGCTCAGTATATTACATTTATAAGTACATGTGCTGGCATAGCTTTATACATTGAAGAGAAGTATGGACTAATGTATTGACAGAATATACAGTGCATACAATCCAATGTTCTCTTTTGTACCAATCAGTACATTTATATTCATTTACTTATTAATTACAACAGCTGTTACAGTAATTATAATTTGTCTTTGATTCTGGAGCAGCTGTGCCATGCACATTTCATTAAAAGAGACGTGTCTTCATTGGCCGGTCTGTGTCAACAAGAACAGATGTAGAAGAAAATTCATTCTGATAAAATAGAACTGTTTCTAAAGATACTTTGCATGTGGCATAAATACATTAAACTTAGATTTTTGTGTGTATGTGTACATTAGTGTGTGTTTAGTAAATTATACTTAAATTTTTTTATTACATTGAATTTCTCAAACTTTTTGCTTATTTTGTGCCTCTTGATTTAGAAGTTTACAAGGTGTGTGTGTCTGTGTGTGTGTGTGTGTGTGTGTGTATGTGTGTGTGCAAGCGCGCGCGTGTGTTCAGAAAAGAAATTTACGTACCATCACATTTGAAATTCATGCCCCCAAAATTTAAAGGGCCAACCCACTGTTTCTTCAGGTCTCCTTCAAAGTACAGAAATATAGTCGGCAGATTCTTGTCCGGATAGTTTGGAATACACAACGAGGATATGCTTTTCAGGAATTTCACTTGTGGGTTTTTCCTTGCCAGTAGAGACAGATGCTGATTTAGAAGTTTACACAGTGGTATTCTGAAATAAAAGAATGAGTTAATTTGAATTTTATGTAAATTATCTTTAATTTTATATACAGTCACCAATCCTGAGATTTATTTACAACAGTTTTGTTCTATTTTTATTGAACAATTAATTTATTATTTTTTTTTCACATACTTGCAATTTATCTAGGCATGATTCATTCATTTTTTTCAAAAGTACTGCATTTTTGGAAATAAAAGACATTTGTTTAATTCAACATTGTAAAGTGATTTGCCTTTCTGTTCTAAAGCATGTTACAGGAGCATAAAGCTCCAAGTCCAGAAATTCTTTTAAAAACAAAAATTCAAAAGTTGTCCTGTCTAGGCAAAAGAAAAAAACTTAAGAGATTAATTTAATAGTATTTTTTTTCTTTTTTTGTGGGTTATGAGATTACAGCAATTTTTCTTGCAAATACTCACGAGTCTTTGTAAATATGGAGAACCACCCACACCCCATCTCCAGCTTTATTAACTTCATCAACATAATCCGCCTTTGTGATTTCTCGGACTTCTCCAAATTTGGCTTTCATCTGTGCTGCCCTCATTTCTGCCATTCTTTGTTTTCTATACTGCTCAAATATCCTCTCTTCTTCCTCATCTATCTCATCCTCTATGTCATCAAGTTCATCTAGGGTCATTTTGTCCATGGGCTTACCTATTAACATCAAATTAACAGTAAATATAAAAGAATCAAAGTAGAGAGCTCATAATCAGTTGCTGGTGCAGGATTTTAATTTTTTTTTTTTGATATGGGTGGCATATAGATATAAATTTCTTCCATTCCCTCAATAATTAAAAATACAGACAAGGACAATTCTAGAGCATGGGAAATCCCCAAAATTTATTTTGCTTTTCTTTTTTTTTTTTTTTTTTTTTTTTTTTTTTTTTTAGGCCTTAAATAGACTAAAGCCAGGGGGTGGGGGGACTAAGACTAAGTCCAGGGGGTGGGGGCGTCACTGTAGACTCTTTATTAAACAATAAACTATTAGTTTAGCTGCTGTCTTAATAAACCACATGCATTATTGTACCTCTGAATGTAAATGCCATAACTCTGCTAAAACTTAATTTAACTGAGAGCTGGCAATTCATTTCAGACTAATGTGAATCCAAGATCAAGGCACTAGTAACATACCCTCAGATTTTTCCTGTATTGCACTTTCTACCATGTTAACAATGTCCTCCTCTGTCATCTCCGTCTCCTGTGGCTTGGGGGGGATAATGCCCTTCGCACGGAGGACATCATTCCATTCTGTGTCTTCATTTGGATCCTAAAATAATATCAAGATATAAATAAATTAATACCGGCCTCAGGCTCTATGAATATTTTTCTGAATATGTCGGTCTAGTAAATATTTGAGTGTGTGTGTGTGTGTGTGTGTGTGTGTGTGTGGGGGGGGGGGGGGGGGGGGAGGCACTAACAAACTTCCCAGATTATTAATTCATTGTACAGGATTACCATTCTGCAAATATGCATTAGGCTATGGTCCTTCACATTTGCCCTGGTGCATTGCCAGTGTGAGACCTTACAGTGAGGCAAAGGGAATTTACATGTTAACCCCCTTCCAAATTCCATATTACTTTCTCATGGACATGGATAAAGAAGTCACCGTGCATGTACAGTACGTGTAAACGGTATTTTATTAAACCATATAATTTATTAGCTAAAATGAACATATATCTGCTTCAACAAGATGAAGGAAAATACTTTTAATAATAATAATAATACAGGAAACAGAAAGTCTTCTCATGTTATAGTATCCCCGACGTCGTGTTCGGTGTTTCCCTGTGGTCCAATATGCCCATATAAGGAAGTAAAGGTGGGGATTCCCTACCCCACTTGGCGAAACCTAAAAACTCTTGTTGATTAAATGAAACCTTAGTTCTACCATGTTAAAACAAATGGATCACACATCAGCTATTATTTTGGAACATAACATACCTGCATTTTGACTAGATCTTTCTCAACTTGGTACAACTTTTGAGTTTTTCCACAAGTAAGATACTTGAGTACTTCAGTGATTCACGCTTTACTTCCGCTCATGCGTAGACGGCACTTCCTCTGACGTAAGCACTGAAAATGGCTTCCAAGGAGCAGGTGCGTGCAAACTGTTTATGTTGCTTATATCAGCGTTTTTTGTCTTATACGGCTATATAAGGTGCCGGTTACAAAGTGCGTTTAGTGCATATACCTTTTGTGTTTTATCCATGCTGAAATGCATGCTTAATTTCAAATCAGATTTTAATTCTCAGGTATTGTAGTTTGATCACTGACTAGGCCTAGGGTACTGCAATATTTGCAGATTACAAATATTTGATGTAATTATGCAGTGATGACTAATGCAATGACATGTTACCAACTGTTTCTGTCCTTATTATAAATGACTGTCAGCCGTGACTCACGTCGTATTTTTATACGTTAATTTTGCGCATACCTACATTCTAATACTGTATTGTCATCTAAATTTGGCAGATGTTTATTCTCGTGTCAAGACGTTTGATTACTGTTGGCTGTCACCATCATCTATGGTAGTTGATAAGTCTAAAGAAAAAAAAAACGGGAAACCAAACAATGGCTTTGTATTTTGTATTTTAAGAAATCGCCATATACATGTATATTGGTGTTTACGCCATAGCTAATGTTGTTTTTGATTTAAGATGACAACTTGTGAAATACCAGCAACCCCCTCCCTCTCCAGCTCTGACATGATAAAAATCCAAAATGAAATAGAAACTGTGAAAATGAAATTTTGGTGTAAGTGAGCTTTTTGAAATAAATGAATAAAGCCAGACATAACTGATAAGTTGGTTAGAGGTTTAAAATAATTGGAAGTGAGACTTAAAATGAATTATTTTTATAATAATTATTATTCCTATTATTATTAAACCCCCAGGACACTTCCAGTGAAGGAATAAAGGCAGGAGACATGCCAAACCCTTCAGAAAGATCCTCGAGGAAGCGCACATCCTCAACATCCTCGCGGAAATCCTCCATCACCACGCCGCCATCTTCACGACGTAATTCACTGTCGACACCAAAGTCACCTGGCAGCAGAAAGTCAACACCCACACCTAGCAAATCTGGTAAATATTTGTTAATCCTGACATTGATATCTTAATAGTGTGTACCACTTTTTAAATAAAACAGGATCATTTCTCCATCTTTTCTTTCTTTCATTGATAAAAGTCTTCTGGATTTATCTGGATATCCAAGACTCCCTATGTCTAAGTTAGTGTGCATCTTCAGTACTTCATTTTCAGGTAATTTTTAAAGGTCCACTTTGATCTTTGGTTTTATAATTGCAGACTTTTCCCTTATTTCAGGTGGTACCCCTGACTCCAACAAAAAGCCTCCAAACAGAGCCGGGATAACATGGAAACCTGGAGAGAAACTAGAGGCCAAAGATTTCCTGCAGAAGTGGTGAGTTTGACATTTTAAAATATTTAAGAGCAGGTGTCAGAAAAATGTGATATTGTATATCAGTCTCTCTTGACTAGATTCTGTCAGAAGTATCATTAAAAAAAAAAACAGCCTCAGTGAGTGTATGCAATTTTCTTTTGACACTCTTTTGTCCCACACTTTGAGGTATTTTTAAGAGAAAGCACATTACTGTTCCTTTTTTTTTCTTTATATTGACATCTTTGAGAAATGATTTTAATATTGACGTGTGATAAATGAGGTTCATGACATTGTTATTGATGTGTATGATAAATGCTCATAATAATAACTCTTCTTATTAAAAAAATAATAATAATAATAATCTCAGGTACCCAGCCAAGATTGTAGAAATAGACCAGAAAGAGGAAGAGGTACTAATTCATTTCGAAGGATGGAATTCGCGGTTCGATGAGTGGCTGGAGATGACCAGCGAGAGACTTCGACCAATCACAAGGCACTCAGAGCGCAAGGACAAACCAGTTCAGAAGGTTAAGAAGGCGGTAAGTTTGGAAGGAACGTAACACAGGTGGCATCTATAATTTTTTTGCACACAGGGCTGTCTGTCTTTTAGGGTCATTCCACAAAAAAAGCAACCATTTAAATAACATACATAATGCACACATTTTGTGTAATTTTTGATAATCATTTAATTTATATCACTTGTTAAAGCCCCCTTTACACTGGATGGTGTCCTTTCTATGTCCTGTGGTACGGCTTTGTTTGAGAGTAAAAAAAATATATATATATTACGTACTGACAACTGGCTGAACATTGAGCATTCATTTCTGCAACCCAAGCAATGCTTCTGCCTTCTTTCAAACAACCACAGCGATAAACTTTCTTGGTCACACAAATGACCCAGAAAGGACGCTGTCCAGTGTAAAGGGGGCTTAAGTAGAATAAAATGGCATATCACAATTGGGCAAATTTTGATCAAAATGTGCCCCTTATTGTCCTCATTTGTCACAACGCAGTGCACAATTTACAAATCAAAGGTTCAAATTCTAAAATAAAAAAAAAATTTAACCAAAGATGTTATTTACATCTGATTTATTGTATTAACAGAAATACAAAATCAGCGATGTGGTGTTAGCCAAGTGGTCGGACTGCCGTATGTATCCTGCCAAGGTGACTGACGTCCTTCATGACAACATGTACGAAGTCATGTACTATGATGGTATACGGAAAGTGATCCAAAATATCAACATCAGGCCTTTGCCTCCTGAAATGCAAGATCAGGTGAGTTGTGGAAGATGGGACATGTTGATCAATGAGTATCAAGTTTGTTGTGACACTAGAAGCAATTTAGATTGTGTTGGATGTGACACCAGAAGCAATTGAGATTGTGTTGGATGTGACACCAGAAGCAATTGAGATTTGTTGGTGTGAATTGAAGCAATTTAGATGTTAAGTGAAATGCTGAAAATTGGTATTTTTGAAAATGCAAACAATCAATGAAAATTGATATCTTGGGCATCATGTGTATCTTTGATCATTATCTGTAGGAATTCCACATAGTCCCCCCTGAAGCAACTGTTGTGAACCCCCTTATGCCAACATTGTCAAAAGAAGACAGACGGCTGCTGAAGAAGAAAGAAAGAAGGGATTTTACCAATAGTCCAGGCTTTAAGAGTGAGTTATCCTGGAATTTATGGGAGAACAACCTTTAGGGATCCTTGGAAATTCATTTGATAAGATGGCTTTAATCCTATTCAGACCAATAACTATTAAGTATTTTTTTACTGTTTAATTTTTCGACGTGCTGATCAGTCAGCTTCTTAATTTGCAGTGTTTAACTTAAAAAAAAATCTTTTCAGAAAAATTAAAGCAGCATGGTCATCATGAAAGCACAGAGCCCAAAGAAAGGAAAAGCACAGAGACCAAAGAGAAAGAAGGAAAAACGGGTAACCACTTACAAATTATGATTCTTTGGCCACTTTTTTTTATAAGTTAGTAGACAAAGTAGGCTTTTTTAATAATAATATTAGGGATGCAGTTTATCAGATTTCAGAGCATTAATTGGGAAAATAAGGTATTATATTACCAATTGATGAACAAAATGTCTCTTTTTTCTTGGCTTAGTCTCAGTTATTTATATGTTAGAAAATAAAAAAGGCAAAAACACGTCTCCTCTCTCCTGTTTTTAAGCTGGATATTGTGCCTTCCTTATACTGGCCAATCAACACTTCAATTTTTGACATTTTTCCCATCCGAAGGAAACTGATTTTCTTTTTCTCATTTTTAGATAACACTATGAAGAGCCATTATGGTGTAGTACATGATTTATTTACCTTTAATGAGTTTGTGCAAAATCTTCATCTTGTCTTTAGGGAAGACAGCAGTGAAACAGAAGGATCAGGCATCAGTTAAAAAGACAGTGAAAGGTATTTATTTATAATTTCACTTTCTCTATTATTTGATTCACAGTTAAAATTATCAACTGAGTTACATGGTGATATTTTTTTCAATACAGAGTCTGATACAGGGTGCAGTCAGTGAAAGTTTTTAAAATTATTTATTAGGAGTTTTATGAAAAAAACATACTCAGTCATGATTTTCAGACGTTTTTAGTCCAGAAGAATCTTTGAAATTTTGAATAATGTATAGGATCGTTAGGATTGTTTGGGTTATGGCTAAAAATTATTCACCAATTTCTTTCAGTGGAGGATAAAGTCTCTCAGAAGAGAGAAAAACCAGACAAGATAACACAGAGACTTAAAAAGGAAGAAAAGCAAAAGAGGCGAGAGAAGAGAAGAGAGGAGAGACTGAGGGTAAAGAAGGAAGCTCTGAAAGCCAAGGGCCGGAAAACAGACTATGCAAAGTTTTTGAAGCGAAAGAAGCTTCTGATTGGAGGAACCTTCCAGGCAAAAAGGAAGTTCCAAGACGTGCAGAAAATGAGGAAGAAAAAGGTTGGCAATTTTGGCCCTGTTTCATTGAAAAAACTTTGAGAAAAAATTTGGTTGTAACATCAAGAATACAAAATAGAGAGAAGAAGATTGTTTCACCTGCTTGCTGCTACTGGCTTGTTTTGGAGAGTCTTCAGCAGGATTCTTTAAAATATATAAAAATACATGGGCTGATAAACCAAAGTTATTTATTAATTTTGATTCAGTTCAGGCTGTTGTGTAATCAAGGTTAAGATGTGAATGGCAATCAGAAACAAAATGCCTTTTACCTCAATCGAAATTTCTTTGATTGAAGCCCCACTTGAAATCTTAATTATGGTTTGTGTATGACATTTGCTCCATATTTTTTAACCTAAATTTGCCATTGCAGTTGAAAGAAGAGCATCTTAAGAGACAGAAAAAAGAGAAAGTTGTCTCATCAGATGAAGACATTGATTCAGATGGCAACAATGGTAAGGTCAAGGTCACTGTCAGTCAAGGTCATTTGTTAGAATTAGAATAGCTTTTACTTCTTGCTAGCTTTCTATTTTATCTTCTTAAATATACTTAGTATAAGAAAAATACACAATAGTGAAATACATCTCTTTCTTTCCCTATTTCTTTCTTTTTGTCAGTCTTTCTTTCTTAATTTTTCTGTCTGTTTTTTATCTTAAATCATAAAGAAGAGAGATACTGTCTACCTTCCTCCCTATGGCTGAGTAGCTCACTGTAATGTTTCTGATATTGCTTGTAGTTGAACCAAGTAGTTTAGAGCAGAACACTCCCCCTTTGTCTCCACAATCTAGGAGAATGAACAGTGCAGTCATTGCTAAGAAAAAGGCAAAGCAAGGTAGAAAGTTTCAAATTTATAATTTTGGGGAGTCTGTGTTAGAGCGGGCGCATGCATTTATTTGTCCATTAGTGTGTTTGTGTGTGTATGTGTTTGTGCATGGCTGTGTTGCATAGTACCAAAGTTAAAAAAGAGAGGGATATAAAAGTCAATGTTTTGAACATAGCATTCATTTTTTTATCTTTTTTTCAAAGCAGAACATTTTTAAAACTAGTTGACAATTAAATGAAAAAGAATTGTTAGCTATTTACGCATAGAACCAATATCTCATACAACTTTTGATACTTGATAATTAATTTTATAATTGGAATTGTCGCAGATAAACAGTGAAAAAAAAAATAATAAAAAAGAAAGAAAAAAGATCCAGCAATATCATGAGTTTTCCTTTGCAGCAGTCACTCCCTCTCCCCCTACAAAGAACACGCCGCCGGAGACACCCAAATATCCTGAAGGTAGTACGCTGAAGCACATGTTAATGCAGTCGCAAAGCGTTGGAATGGCCGATAGCTTATCTCTGCTGCCGTCTCCTGCTAAATTTGCTTCTGCGTCTGTTTCCTCTGCTTCTTCTGCCAAGAAATCTGGTACAGAAGGTAACTGGCTTTGTGCTTTCTGTCACATGTTGGTTGTAGTATAGATAAGGCTGTGGTGTTGTTGTGATGTTGCTCTAATATGGCACAGTGCTAGCTGGGGCAATGTATTTGTGTTAGCTTTGACACCCCCATTGTGTTAGCTGAGACTTTGTAATTGTGTTGGCTGTGGCATCTTCATTGTGTAGGCTGTGACACCTCCATTGTGATAGCTGAGACATTGTAATTGTGTTGGCTGTGACACCTCCATTGTGTTGGCTGAGGCACTGTTATTGTGCTGACTCTCACATTGCCACTTAGCTGTTTTATTATGTGATTGTAACATTGCTGTGCTTGTGTCATTGTATTAAAAGATCTAAAAGAATGCAATACCATAGTCTGACGTTGCCATTGTGGTGTGATTTTGTTGACCGCAACATTACAAACAAGCTAGTATTGAATTTGTGATTATAGCAGATATGTTTTAATTGTTTGTATTGTCTGTGTTTGTGAATGATGCTTGGGCCAGTTGTGGCGTTGTAATCACTTTTACCATATAAAATGACAGTATAACTGTGGTAGATTGAATGTTGTAAGCATGGCATGATTCACTGCTATTGTGTATGCTGTGTGTATGCTTTAAAATGTCAGTGAGCTAGCATTTCCTTATTGTGACTTTTTTGGGTGTAGCTGCATAAAAGCATTTAATTTAACATTTAAGGAGGGGGTATTTTGGTTTTAGAACGCATTACATTTACAGAGCAAGCTATTTTGTTGGATGTGATATTGTAGTTAGTTTTTCAAGTATGAAAAAAAAAGGCTGAATTTAAATAATAATATTAGTAATAATGATGATTTAACTAATTTGCTTATTTGAAGGAAAAGTTAAAAGAAAAGGATTAGGAGAGCAGAAGAAAATCCGACGAAAGCGCCGCATAGACAGTAGCCCTGATAGTGCAGGGAAGAAAAAGAAACTGAAATTTTATGCAGAAGGTAGAAAATCTTGGACATGCTATGTATTGACATGATTTGTACTATTTTAAAATATCTTTATCAGGGAGAGTTTAAGCCATATAATGCATGCTTGACTTTTGTATAGGAAAGAAGATTAATTTTCCTAGACATTTTACCTTCATGCTTTTCCCCATATAATTAAGGTAAATTATATTTCCAAACCGGTGGACAAAATTATGATTTATCATTAGCTCTATGCCCACAACTGTCCAAGAACCAGGAGCTATACAATATCATAAGAATTTTCTTTTATTCTTACTTATATATTTATTTACTAATTTCCAGTCCTGGTTCCCGCCACTGATCCTGCTCCCAAAGAATTTGTGGTGAAAAAAGACCACAACCAATACAAGTGCATTTTCACGGATTGTGACAAGAGCTATCGTAAACAAAGTCTTCTGGACTACCATCTGAAATATTATCACACTGAAGATGGCACTCCAATCCAGCCTCCACCTCCCAGACAGAGGAAGAAAACAATCAGCATGTGTAAGTGTCTCTCTCTGCTCTCTCTCTCTCTCTCTCTCTCTCTCTCTCAGTTTTATACAGAGGGTGTCCAAATTTCTCCATTTATCATAATCACATGAAGATTAAGATGGGGTTGAAAAAGAATCGTGCCTGTGCATGGAACACATAAAAAAAACCTCTCCCTCTCTGCCCCCCCCCAACTCATTTCATATTAAGTTTTTCAAAAGATGGTTTGGATTAAATGTACTTTTCTCAAACTGCTTCTGTCCTTGTTAGTTAAATATTTCATGTCCTAGTTTAGATTTTAATTTTTTTTTCTTTGGACATGAAATTAAAAAATATATGTATATTTCAGGTTCCAATGAGTCCGAAGTCTCCATCTTGAGTGACCTGCCCCTGTCAGAATTGGTTTCAAAGCCAGCCAAAAAGAAACGCATGTCGTCTGCTGAGTCAGAACGCAAGCGCCATCTGTCAGCAATGTCTACAGACAGCAGGGCAACAGTGGAGTACCAGGATGACACGGCTTGTCTTGATACTGCTGAAGGTACCCTGTGATTGTTTTCACTTCATTACTTAGGACTTAACAAAAAAGTCGGCAATAAATTCATAAACTTATCTCCCTAGAACAAATTTTGTGAAGTTTTCATGAGCTGAAAAAAATGTTTCTTAAATTGTGAAAAGCCTGTAATTATCAAACTGGTTCAGAGCTTTATGCTATCATACTGTATAATACTGAGCTTTCAAATTGTTTAATTTTTATTAACCATTTTTGTAGTCCTTTGTCAAATTGTTGGGTGTCTCTTCATGCTTCGTGGCTTAAGTTTTGTGCAGCCTGTAAATTCTTTGCTTTTCTGTCAGCAAATTCTCTTAAAAAGGTAACTAATTTTTCCCTCCTCAGCAGGGTCTGTCCACAGTTTCACAGCAGACCAGGATGGTTTTAAGTCCACAGAGGACACCATGGACATGCTGGACATGGAGGATGGCCAGGAAGGGCCGGAGGAGCTTAGCGACGAAGTGGTCAACTGTATCTGCATGCTGAATGAGGAGAATGGACTCATGATCCAGGTATACTGGACTGGACTGACTTTTATATTAATGATCATGATGACCAAATGTGAGAGTCTTTGTAAAAATGACTTACTCAAGCACAGTTTGGTTGAATTGACTTTGGCCAAGTTCTGCAAAACAACTTGTTGATTGAAAGTAAAAGAAAATAATTGTTTATTTATGAAATGTAAAGCTTAAATGTTTTTCTCCTCCAAGATAACATCAAATAGTTGTCATCTGCCAAGTTGTTGTTGTCTGATTGATTTTTCGTCTCCTTCACTCCGATTAGTCAAAAATGCTATATTACATCATTGATTAGAATTGTGTTTGTGAAAACATCTGATCCAGTGCTCAGCAGCAAGTTTTATGATACATCGAATTCCCAGATAGAATAATCTTTGGCTTTTATGTGATAATATATCTTTATTCTTTGATAATTATATGACAAAATATTGTATTCTGTGGTCATATTATGTTAATTGTATAATGCTATAATGTTATTTCCAGTGTGAGTGCTGCATGTGCTGGCAACATGCGGACTGTTTGAATGTGACTGCGGACACTTTACCCAGCAAATATGTCTGCTCCATATGTCAGAACCCAGTGGGTAGGTATTGCACAACTGTCACACCTAACACAATACTGTCACACCTATCACAATACTGTCACACCTAACACAATACTGTCACACCTTGCACAATACTGTCACACTATTGTCACAACTGTTGCAATACTGTTACACCTAACACAATATGGTCACACCTAACACAATACTGTCACACTTGACACAATGCCTCACAAAATATCAGGAGTCTCTTCTTATAAAATTATTCTTGACACATCTGACAAATTGCTTTTCCAGAAGGAGAGAGAGTAGAGAATGTAGATGTCAGAGTAGATTCTCCTCCTTTTCTAGATTTATGCATAGGATTGTAATCATCACAACATTTTTTTTCTGAAGTAAGAAAAATTGGTTTTAACTCCAACAAAAAAAATGAAGTAACTGTTACGTTTCAATATCACATGCCCTGTCTTCTTAAAGGCGTCCGTGAGAGTGCTCGCTTCATCTGGGACCAGGATATGTTTAAAACGGGCCAGCTTGCCAGGTTTGCCTGTAACTCACTTGTGGACACAGGACGCAAGTCCCCCTTCATGCTGGCCACTAATAACCTGCTGGGAGACATGCACAACATTAACCTGGTGTTGAAAGGGTTAAAACAAAAGATTAAGTTATTGAAGTAAGTGCTGACACAGAGGTTTGTGTAGAGAATGAAGCTAGAAGTTAACACTTGCTTTAAAGGTGCATACAAAGTCAATTTTTTGTCACAAAAACCAACCAAATGCCAGCATATAGTTTCAAGTAGAATAACTAAGAGAATTACCAAAGGGCATTGTTTAATTTTACCCGAAAATGATGTTTGAACGGATTTTTCTGCTGGCATTCTAAGCTGTATGTCAATGGGGCAGGAAAGTAGGTCACGAAAGTAGGTTAAATTTACAACCAAAAATTTTAAGAAAGGAGCAGTCTAAAGGTCTTTTATGGCTGATCGAGTGATCTATTCAGTTTATCCCTTGGCGTGTCGAATTTATTTAAGTCATATAAGAATCTAGTAGAAGTGGTTTACATGTGTTACTGGGAATCCACGCTCCACCGATGCTCGGTTCGTATGTACCTTTAAGACCAAAACTTTGAAATAGAATTAGTAGTTCACCAAGACGAGAATATTAGGGCTGTTTTAGAATAAGAAAGAGAAATGTTCAAAATTTTAGACTGATAGCTGACACATGAGAAACATATATCCCATAATTTTAGCTCCAAAGATGACCCTGACCTTGACCTTTGGGCCAGAGAGCTGGAAAGAAGGAGAGAGATAGAAAAAGAGAGAATGGAGGAAGAGTTGAGACTTGAAGAAGAAACAGGACATTTAGAAGAAGAAGAGGAGTATCCAGAGGAAGGAAATATTTCTCATAGGTTTATTCAGGGATCAGAGGAGCTTCCTGGACCACTGCATTCTGGGATGCCTCCAAATGACTTGCAAAATGGCGGTGTTGATTTGACAGGTGAAAAAGTACACAGATCAGAAAGTGTTGACAAAGAAGTGTCTGTTCCAGAAAAGACAAGTGATTTGGCTTCAGGAAAGCATCAGGTGGGCAATGAGGGCAGTGCTGAACAAGTTTCATTGAAGGAAAGAGAAACGGAAGATTTGGCAATCAAACCAAAGCCCTCAGACCCACAGGGTGGTAAGTCCACATTACCACTGCCCAGAAGTGCCAGAAACAACTCCAGTTTAGACTCAAATGAGGAAATTGATGTCATTGGCTTATCACCAACTCAAAAAACTTTCCCTTCAGTACCCAGTTCAACCAGTGTCTTAAGTGAAGTGGACCAGTTGTCGAATGCTGGTCAGTCTCAGCAGACAGAGGAGACATCTTCTAGTGATAAGGCTTCAGATGGAGTCTCAAAGGTTGTTGACAACTCAACTGCCATCCAGGCAAAAGCAGCAGATAGTGAAGGTGCTGCCAAGGAAAAACTGCCTACTGTTGGCTCCACATCCCAAGACCAGTCTGTGTCAGCAGTAACAAAGACTGTACCCTCAAAATCAGATGTGATCAGTGTGAGTGCATCATCTTTGCCCACTCCCCAGGCTGGTCTTGGAGAGTACAAACTGTCTCCAGTGCCCTCTAGGGTTAAGTTGGTTGGGAGCAGTGTCTGGACACCAGTTGCCAAGGTAACCATAGTTCTGTAATGGGTATTTTAGAGTAATTCAATAAATAAAAACTGCTGAAGCTGTCAAAGCATAGTACTGTACTTAATATTTTCAGGGACATATATCATTGCTTCTGGCCGTTCACATAGATAAATTATATACATAATTTTTGTGGTGTCTTTATCAGAATCTTACCACTTTGGACAAACCACAAGAAAACAACAGGAACCAACAAGAAAAGAGCCCCCCAGCAGAGACTGGACCCCCAGCAGAGCAGGAGGCTCCCTCTGGTGGCAATCAGAAATCTTCAGACACCAGCATAGACTTGGACGTAGAGGAAGACAGACACTTAGTGGCAGAACAGCGACTGAGAGAACACATTCATCAATTACAAGATCAACTGGAGAAGAAACTTGACAGTGTGGAACAGCAGGTGGATTGTAAGTACAATATATTCTGTAATTTTTTTATTAAAATATTATTATTAGTATTATTATCCATTTTTATTTATTATTATTATTATTTTTTTTTTTTTGCAGATATTTTGTAAATGCAACACAACACAGTTTTTGCATGATAACTTTGTTTAGATGAAAATTATCAGAATGGAACAAAACTGGATTTAAGTGTAAAATAACATTAAAAATGACAAGTAACATGATTTTTTTTTTTTCAGTTTTGGAGGCAGAAATTATAGGTGGCAGCTCAAGTCAAGATGATCCTCTTGAAGACGTTGCACAGCTGAAAAAGTCCCTTCATAGTATTCTCTTTGACCTAAGCAAGGTGAAGAGGATGGCCTTATACCACTGACACCAGCTCCAGCCCAGTTTATAGAAATAGGTTGCAATTCACAAAGAATCTGCAGTCAAAAACCATTATTATATCTAAACATAAATTCTGCATTTTGTAAGGGACAAAATTATTGGACAATCCATTCACAAGCAATTCATAAAGACGTATCCCTTTGAGAAATAGAAATTATACAGATGTGCTCTTTTGTGGTGAATGAAGTTTCTGGAGCAGAGGATCCCAGTTGTAATAAAAGAAAACAAATGAAAGCTGGTTTTCTGTGTTCATTTTCTGTAAAACTTGTGACTTTGTAGGGTTTTTTTACTTCAAGTAAATGGGGTAACATTAAATTCACTTTCAACAAAATGATTGACAATTAAGCAACAAGCAGCCCACAAAATTGGTACGCAATATTTTAATTGTCAATGATACAATGACTAAAAACAATTTTTTTTTTTTTGTGAACTTAGGCCTTTTCCACATGAATTTCTTCTTTTGCAAAACCCACCAAAAAAAAAAATAAAATAATAATAATAATAAAACAGATATTTCTAATTAAAAAATTTGTAAAACTTCACAATGCATTGCAATGCAATTACACAACGTATTGGATGAAAGCAAGCCCTGAGTTTTTTTTTTTTTTTTTTTTTTTTTTTTTTTAAACATAAATTATATTTTACAGAATTATAAATGAACACTCAATAAATGTTTACAGATTAACATTCCTGTACAAGTAAAAGTTCTGGGGTGGAAGCTCAAAATGACATTGCAATGAACCTTCACGAAAATGGTGTAAAAAGCATATGGTTACAGCATTCTGACTCTGTTTTGGTCTGTTAAGTGTCATTAATTTCTTATCCCTTTTGACATTAATGTCAAATATACTAATATTCACAATTCAAAACCCATTTCAATCTGTAACTCGTAACAGAGTCACAATAATGAAGGAATGATAACATATGGCACACAAATATTTAGCTTAAGACTCAAGACTCAACTAAAATGGTCACAAGGTGGAAAAAACTACTGGGAAACAAAGCCCTTTATTATCATGGTGTTCTCTCATTATATGTAATGTAAATGGCATTACTAATGCCACAAAAATAATATATACAAATCTGGATCCAACTTAGCTCTCTCACTCATGCCTTATCAGTCTGCGCCAAAAACTTTTTAGACTACTAGCCCTTCGGGCTAGCAGACTCTCAAACTTTACTAGCCCGAACCAAAAATCACTAGCCCAATTTAAATAATTCATTTAAAAAGTTTAAGCAGATGTTGTAAAGAGTTGTGGTACCATACTGTACTTTCTTGAAAACCTTATTATAGAAGTAGAGCAAGTGAATAACAAAGTCAATCAGGTTAATTTTCAGTTGATGGGGTGGTAAAATTGATTTAAAATATAATTAATTATTTAATATTGAAAAAATTCCCTTTTTTAGTATGTAATACTGAAAAAAGTTACCCTTACTTTTCATATTTTTATAATACCTTTCTTTCCATTTTTATATGCAATCAAATTTTTTTTTTTAATTCCTATTCTTTTTATTGACAATGGCTCTTTTCCGACAATTTATTTCCAATAACATCAGTACATAATGCCACTTCTAATTTAAAATACATAGGTACTGTGAAGGTAATTAAACAAACGTCTTGCAATTTTTTTGGTTACAATTCTTTTGGTTATACAACTGTAAAAACAACTTTTCAAGTGTGGAGGGGTAGCCATGGCATAAACCCAACTATGCCACATTGTCAAGAATAGTTCATAGGGTATTTATGTCACATGTAACTGCCAGGGTCTTATTGTTTTTAAAAGGCAATAAGCAAAGGAAAATGTATTGACTCGTGGATATTAAAATTATAAATAAAAAATATAAACAAAAAAGGAAATAGAATACTACACCCCTCAGTCTGCTAAGTGGTCCTAACCCAAATGTTCTATGAGATAATGCATACATTACACTTGCTTCGGAGACAGTGTTGTTTTGACAAAACCTGTTGCTAGTACCAAGGAATTCCGGTCTGATCCAGTAACTTGATTGACAGCAATTTGTAGTCATGACAACGAACTGGTCAAATAAGAAGATGCCGACAAGCTGATCAGACAGACTGCTGCTATAAATAACTACAGTGAAGTTATTTATAGCAACTAATCAATATTCAGTAGTTAGAGCTAGGTGTGAGAGGCATATCATACTATCTAGAAACGTCAAATTAGAGGCAGGGACAAAGAAGACTGGCGACTTATATTTTTGAAATCTTACTGAGTGTTACAATAGGCTCAAAATTTCAACTAGCCCGTTCGGGCTAGTGCTTTGTAAAATTTCAACTTTTTTACTAGCCCGGTGCCACTTTAGGTAGGCAATTGCCTCGGGCTAGTGCCTAACGTCGCAGACTGCCTTATTATGGGGATGTTTTAGCCCATACTTCTTCATATTGTAAATTACTCAATACATATGACAACTAAATTTTGTAGCAATGCCATATAACTGATTAACTTGTTATAATTTATGGGATTTTATTTTTTGTTTTTCAAAATTGCCCTTTTCGGACTACAACTCTCAAAACTAAGTGGCTTAATATAATAAACAAAATTATTATCCAGTAAAACAAAGCTGATTCTTTGTATGTTTAATAGGCATGTTTAATAGGCTATGTAGCAAAGAATTTAGTCTTTTTTGGGTCACGCAGACCTTTTTTTCTGTCCTTGACCTTGGACTTATTACCAACTGTAAAACATCTAAACTGCAGTCTCTTTTCTAGGCCAGGGGTCACCTTTCAGCTCTCTTTCCCTGATACCTGACCTCCAGACTCTGACCTTAAAATCGTCACTAACAGTCACCAGCATCTCTCTGTCCACAGGATTGAAGGCAACGCAGTTCACCACGTTGTCGTGAGGGAGTTTGGCCAATTTACAATAGTAGTTTCTGTCCCATAGGTATGCATGTTTGTCCTCTGATCCACTAGAATTGAAGGAATGAAAAGGTTTATAGTTAGATTTGTACATAACAATTATAATTACATTCATCAACAACCACATACCCCAGTACATGCACAAAAAAAAAAAAAAATACTGACACATCTAGTATATTTTTCTCATAGTAACAATGTTACAGTACTATAAGTATTACCATTAGTTGTTCAAAATTACAAACTGAATAATTATGATTTTTTTAGAAAAAGATTATTACTTCTTCAAAAAAGACTTCTTCACTTCTCAAAACTGCTAATTTCTGTCAAACAACATGCAAAATATTTCTTATCAATTCATATCTGATATTAAGTATGTCTGCAGGTACATTTACACGCAATTAAATACACATACTGGTATAAACACACAAAAACACATTTATGAACACTGACAAATGCACGCAAAAAACATACATGTAACACACGCACGCACGCATGCAGGCACGCGCACACACACACACGCACACCTGCTAATATCCTCTACCAGGGTGACACTGACAGACTAAATTTTCACAGATATGTCTCTAGATAAATAGACAGTCATTTTGGTATGATGTCGCATCAGCAAAAAAAAGTCCACAATAATAACTGTGGCCCTGGTAGAGGGTCCACCTACTAACACATACAGTATAACCTCAAAGATAAACATCTACCCACCTAGCTACATATTTATCACAAACATCCAAAAATATGTAAAAGCAGTCTTCACTTGGCGTAAACCCCCGATGACCTTTGTAGAGAACCCCAATGTCCTTCATCTTGACAAGGTCAATTACATGCATGTCTATCTCTTCTTTTATTGGGGGTATCCAAGTGTCATCCCTCACCAGGTGGCTGTCTGATCGCCAGGAACGGATGTTCACATAAAGAAATCTAGGATAATGGAGAACAATTAATGATATAAGCCTAGAGATAGAAAATCATTATGGTAATAATCAGAGCTCAACATTACCGTAACCTATTTCACTTGGTTGCTACTGAACGCAACCAGGCTAGGTGGTTTGGCTGCTGTTCCAGATTTAAAACAAAATATTTCTCGAGGAGGGAAGGGGGGGAGGGGCTTACCAAGCATGCAATGAAATACTTATTACTTTCTAACTGATACTCCAGATTCAAAAATAATTCCAAATAGAAAGTAATGCAAGTTCCACTGTTTTTCTGACAAAATAAAATTTAAGGAAATGTAATATATTATTGCTATCTTATAATCAACACAAACAACTACTGTTCATGTTAACCAAGAGGAGCCAATGCCATAAAACAGACTGGAAAACATACCATAAAAGAAAATTATTCATAATGGAATAAGTTTCATTGTTGAGCAACTGCATGGGTGAAAGTTGTAAATTTAAAACTAAAATTCCAAAAACATAGCTTGGAATTCCTTATCATGGATCATTAAAAAAAAAAAAACTTTCAAAATAATGACTGAAAATCCCAAAATCAGGCATAATCCTGAAAACTTTCACCCATGAGCTATATGTCTTCAGTGTGACTGACCCCATAGCTCCTTGCTGATCCTTACCTTTGGTCTGGAGATAAACAAAGTCCTATAATCTGTCCCTTCATTTGGAACATGTAATCAGGAGAGGAATCTTCCTCCAAGAAGTGAATTAGCTCCCCGTCCAAGTACAATCCCGTCTCGACTCCAACGTCTATTTTCTTTATACCAATTTGATGCGGCACAAACCCCTGCGTCCCAGCTGTGAAGATCAGATATTTTTGATTACTTTTCATGGCGTCTCTCCGCTGCCAGTACAGCCTGGCCAGCTCATCTTGTGTCAGTTCATCTATGGAGCTGTCATCCGAGTCCTCACGTTCCAAACAGCCAAGAAAATCCTGTTCTGAACCCAAATGCTGCCTTATGTCTTCTCCGTTAATTTTAACATCTTTTTCCACAGCCTGCCTCTGGTCTAACTGTGACCCTGCAAGGCCATACTGATTAATAGATGAGTCTGTTTGGGCATCATGACTGACCTCCGATACTGATGGATCAGATGGGCCTTCTGTACACGCTGGCATGTAATTTCCCCAATCTGTGTCATGAACATCACCACAAGATGGTGGCACTGTCTGGACCACATCCCTTTCCCATCCGCTGCCACCAGAAGGATTGCTCACCTCTCTGTTAAGTTGAGATGTGGATTCATCAATTTGGGATGCATCTTTATTTCCATGCTCTTCTTGAAAATATAAATGAAATAGGTAATTTCTGTTATCCTCTCCTAAATCAGCACCCTCTTTTGCCAATTCCTGCCTATTATCAACCGAAACAAGGTCAACCTGTCCTGAATGAAGGTCACGTTGCCCTGAATTTGGGTCACTGTGTCCTGAATGTGAGTCAATCTGAGTTGGATCTAGGTCCGCATGACCTGCATTGTTTTCAAAGTGACTCAGATAAAAGGAATTGCCCCCAACAGCTTGCAGCTGCTCATCTCCTGTGTGTAAATGTATATGAATATCCTTAAAGTCTACTTCCGGTCCCAGCCTCTGTTTCCTGTTACTATGGTGATCACGAGATACAGCCATGTTGCACGATGCATCTAGGGAACTTTCTGTTTCTTGTTTGGATTTCTTTGAGGCAGCTTCATCTTCATGACAATCGGCAAACATCAGATACCTAGTAAATAAGACCATTGGTTGAAGTTATAAAAATAAATTTAGCTCGGATTCAGTTTCATGTTGAAAGCATTACCTGATATTGTATGAAAAGCTCAATTTACAAAAATGGGTGACAATGGCCACGACAGAGGCAGGTGACGGCTATATGTACAGACACATCTGACAAAATGTTAGAATACCTTACAGCAATACTGTGGAGCAGGCATTTGGCTGTATATCATTCTCATGCCAAACTATCTTATTATCAATTTGTTATTTCAAAAAATTTTACACAGTAAATAAGTTAACATAAAACACCACATGTTGAATCTTTTATGTATTTACAATAATTCCTAGAGTTTTTTTACTGCCTCTCATTTTACCTGGAGGCAAAACCTTCACTGTAGCAGAACATCACTCTCCTCTGCTGCCAGTCCGACATTTCAAAGTCAAACTTTTCATCTTTATTCACCTAAAAAAGTAGTATACATGTTATTTTTTTAACATTTTGCTCCAAACTGTTTTAAGACTTTAATTTATTAGCTAATGACATTATCCTATCACTTGATGTGCAATACGTATTTTAGATATTATTCATTTCAGGAAATTCCATATGTAAAACCTATTCAAAACTGTCAATATTAAACGAAAGGATGGTAAATAAATAAGCCTTTTTGGCCTATTAAATTGTAATAAAATAAATTGATTAATACATTTTGAATACTTCATCTTTACTAATTTTTTTATCATTGTGATCAGAAATTATAATCACATGGCAAAAATTACTCTTAGACTCAGTGAGAAACTATGAAAAAAACTTGTAATCAATTAATCAGAAACAGACTACTTTCTAATACCTTGGCCACAAAGACCTGTGAGGAGTTATTGGCTGACCACCCAAGCTCCCCAGTTAACATAAACTCCTGGTCCAAGTATGGAGACAGATAGAAGTCGCCATACATGTCAAATGGAGAGTTGGGATAGAACCACACCAACTGGGGTACTTGTAAATGATCACCGGCTGAAATGGCAGTTAGAGGTATATGAGACAGAGGATCTCATTGGTCAAAAATATTGTTAAAATTTTTAACTTTATATGAGAAAGAATATTTCATTGGTGGAGATTTGAAAAAATGAAATTCAGAAACTAAAGATTATTTCATTGGCAGAAAAATCTGAATTATGAAAATATGAGAGATAATATTTCAATGGCATAAAATTTGGACATCTTTTCATTGGTTTATACCAAATGTCTCCCCAAATGGACACAATGACACTTGAACATTCTTCTGATGCCAAATTATGTGGAGTTACCTGCTTTTATATTATAGACCACAATAATCCCATCAAATTCATTGGACTGTGGCCCGACAGCGAGTATTAAGCTGTCATCATGGTTGAACTTGGAGAACTGCGGAAATTTCATGGTTGTGTCGCGCACATTGATGTTATATTTCAAAGAGATGGGGTATTCAGCACTCCAAACCTAAGGAAATAATGGAATACGATATATTGTCACATATTGGCCTTGTATTTCAAACCTGGGCAACCTGTTGAATATGTCTTTGGAATATAGGGTTTATTGTACAAGCATATTGATGTTTTGTTCAAAAGAGATAGGGTACCCCATGCTTCAAGCCAAATAAAGCAGTGGATATAATAAACATCTCTTGCATATAAAACCATTTTTTTTTTTTAACTTTTTTTAAAAGTAGGTATCATTACATTATATCTCAAAAAAAAAAATGGTTTTATATGCAAGAGATGTTTATTATATCCACTGCTTTAAAAAAAAACTCTGTGATCTAAATCTCAGTAATTTACATACACTTTTATGTAGCAATATAACAACTAATTTCCACGGAAATTTCAAGATCTTTCATTAAATCACCAACTTGGGTTCACCAATACCACTGACATATATTCCATAATAGTTATCTTAATACCTGTTTTTATACCCGTTTTTGAGTTCTAAATCTTAATTATTGTCTTGCTCTTGTAATGGACAAGGTGACTGGTGAATTTCACTTACAAAAGAGAAAAAAACAACAGAAATGCATACCTGTATACAGTATATATTCAGAACCTTTATCTCATTATAATTTTTTCTCTAACAAGTCAAATTGAAACTGATCAGAAATCAACTAACCTTAACGTGCCCGTCTTTTGAAGAGGTGGCAAAAAATTTTCCGCAGTGAGCAAAAGAGACATAGAGCACCTCATCAGTGTGTTGGGTGAGCTCTTCACTCAAAATGTCAGGAACATGATAGAACAGCCGGCGATACTCATCCTTCCAGGAGGGGATGCCCTCTGGTAGTGAGGGACTCCTGGGTAGAAATAAATGCATTTTTTTAATCATTGATATTTGAACTTTTTGGAGGATTTTTTATATCAGGGGCGGATCCAGAGATATTTTCTGACAGTCTTCCAAATTATCTCTGTTGATCTATCCTCTATTTTTTACCGTCTTCTGATGGAAAAAATTAGATACCCATCAATGTACTCATCCAGAAGATGGCCTCAATCTGCCCCTGCATATTCAATATTCTTTTGCATCATATTGAATTACTATAAAATTATACTGTAGTACTTAGTATTCTCCATATAATATTGCAGATTTCTTTGAGAGTTATAAAGACTTAGAGAATTAATAAAGAATATCATTTAAAAAAAAAACTATAATAAAGGACTAAGTTCTAAAATGGAAATAAGTCTTTTTTGGAAGTGACTAAAATTGGGATAATTTTTAAAAAGTGAAATAACAGCAAAGTATGTGAATATATCTAATCTCAAAATAATACTGTTTAAGAATAATTAAAACAACAAATAGCCATAAATTACAATAATAAGGAAAAAATAAGACTCCCTAAAAAAATTAATTGAGTAGAAATATTTTGCCTTACCCTTTGACATTCCATTTACAACATACAATCTCTCTCCATAAGAATTCATCCTGCGAGATTTTATACCAGTCTTTACAGACTAGCCCAGCTTGTATGATATCTAGACCAGGGAGGTAGGAAAATATGTGCAGCAGCACACCATGCGGGATTCTTTTCCAAATGCTCATACTACACTGAAATTGACAGGCAACAAAATCCTTTTAGAAGCAGTCTGTTCATCAAGCAAACCTTAGTTAAAGGGATACCAACTGTTTGTTTTGGCCAAAAAATGAATTTTCCTGTGGTAAGCAACAATTTTCCCCAAATTACCAATGCTTAAAGAATGATCAATCCATTCTGAAATTTACACCTTTTTTTCCCCAAAAAGTTTGGTTTTTGTAATAATCTCTCCAGAGATTATTACAGAGGGTAGTCATCTATGGAGAGCTTGTGATCTGATGGAACTTGATCTGATGACAAAAACATATTTCAGAATAATTGTGATAATTAACTGCTGTTTTGGTGGTAAAAGTCAATTTATTACATTTCTATTAGTTGTTTACAATGTATTTATGTGAAATATGCATCTTAAAGAGTTGCTATGATCCCTTAAATTTTTTCAGAGCCTACTGGAAATTGATCTCTTTTATATCGTAGCATAGTTTCATTTTCCAAATGTTCACTATAAAACTTCGCCCAACCCTTTTTTGGATCAATTGATCAAATGTTGCAAACATTCAGACCAATGAACCTTCGGACTATCACAACGGATTAACCCTTATATTATCCCACTCAATCTGCTGTTTACCAGAAAAGGGAGAGCCATGTTGATAATAGAGCTGTATGCTGTCATTTCTGAACCTAAGGATGCCTTCAGGGTTTGTTTCAAGTCACAGGAGTCATATGAGGCATTGCTTTAATAGTGTATTAAAAAAGGGGTGTAACTGAAATGCGCAATACACTGCAATACAGCACAACACAGCGCAATACACTTGATAACACAAGTCCAGTTGCAAGTAAACACAGGAAAGGGTAATCTCAAATAAAATAGGGCGATATAAAAGCAAAATATAGTGCATAGTAATTAATATTGCTGATTCAACTTGACAATTTTTTCATTGTTTGGTCAGTCGCCATGTTGGCGAGTAGCTCTTCTTGGCCAGTAATATATCCAAGAAGAGCCACTCGCCAACATGGCTGCCAACTGGACAATATAAAAGTCTTGCTGATTTGTTAAGTTATATCAATGATATTACTTACCTAGCAATATAGGTTGTTTTTATATCACCCTGCTTTGCTGGGAATGGTCATTTCTTTTGTGTAATTGCAACTGGATTTGATTTTTAAAGTTTATTGCACTGTGTTGCGCTGTATTGCGGTGTATTGCGTATTTCAGTCACACCGTTAAAAAAGTGAAAACATAAACGAGGCTGTGCATATTTATGTCATGAAGTCATGAAGGATAAAATAAACTACATTTTGGTGAATTCTCTCCAATTTCTAAACCTACCTCGTTCTTGTAACAGTAGAATTATCAGGACAGGATGGAGCTGTCAGTTGTGTTTCAATCCTCGCGTCAAACTGAAGTAAATTGATAAATAATATAATGTGAATATCGACATCCAAATTGTACAGGCCAAAGCACGACTCGAATACATCAAATCAGATGAGTATTGGTCAGATATCTGACCATCTACGGTGGTACCCTTAATCTGAGACACATGCTGGCAGTACCGCGTGCTGGTTAATCCTTCTTTTATTCTAAGTTCATGCGCGTTCTTTCCTTCCTGGGTCAGGTCCAAAGTCAAGCTATAATTTTGCAAATACCTTAGTTATCATTAAACTTTAATATTCAGAAAGCAATCTTATGGATAGACTGAATTGTGTTTTGTTATATTACTTTTAAAATATTGTCTATAATTCCCTCAAACAAATCACATACTGACTTACGAAAAAGACAGTCAGAAGTGGCAATCCCCGCACCTGGAGGCAGACATCTTGAAAATATCCCGGATGTCAGTTTCGCATTGGAACACTTTCAAGTAGACAGTCTCTTAATTTTTCACTTTTGTTTTTCATGGGATGAATGTTTAAGTTATACTCGAATATTATGGACCGTATTACTGAATGATCATCAATTGACCAAGAATAAAGTGAGCCCGTCTGGGTCAGAGAACCTGTAAGATACATCGACGTACATTTAAACTTCCGGTACACGCAAAATAAAAAAAATAATATGACTTGTTCACAGTGACTCACTGACTGGCGACAGCACAGATATTTTTTAGGGTGTGCATTTATTCTGTGCCCAAACTTGAACGAGATGATAACTTCTGTTGTTACTAGAAACGTAGGTTTATATTGGTTAGTAATACTGTTAATTTACAAGCGTAAGATCGCATTCACAACGAGTTGAGCCAGGCTTTACAAAATATGGCGGTCGTACATGAAAGAAAAACCGCCTAATCTTTTAATAGTCTCTCCGCCTCTCACACGCCTCCCCACACGTCGTCCCTGTGGGGGTCAGTCATTAAATCTCTCCTCCATTGGGACGACACAACTCGTTGTGAATGCGATCTAAGTGAATGATAAGGCCAGTCTATAATTTTCACTGCATATATTTAAATTTAGCGGAAAATGATTGTGTCTTTTATTTTCATTTTTATTAAGCCCTGTATGTGTTTACAATTCCAGGCCAGCAAAATGTAGTGGCAATACAAGAGGAAAATGTGCATGGCAAAGACCCCATTAAGCAGACCTTGACCCTGTTGTGCATGACCTTGACTGACCTTGACCTGTAATTTGGCCAGATGTTGACAGTCCTGTGGTCCTGGAACTATCTATTCCTCTACATAGTGCTGTTCTCTGCTACAACATATGTCAACAAAGTGAGTGTGTAATAAACATAGTAACTATTGGTCAAGGTGACTAATTAGGTCAAGGTGAATCATTAGGTCATTGTGAATAATTAGGTCAATGTAAACTAGTACTGGTAAGATTTATATCTATTCATATATATCTACAATTTGTCTTTTGCCATATAACATAAAAATGATGATATGCACAATTGAGCATGTGAAGAAATTGAATTGAATATTGATTGAATTGATTCATTTTGTTTCCATTAATTAAATAAATATTATGTGTTGTTTTATTTCAGTACGTGCTGTCAGTGTTGACCTTTCAGTATCCCACTATATTTCAGGGGTGAGTTACTTTTAAATAATAAATAATAATAAAAGTATTTAAAAAAGGGTTTTAAATCATAACCACATAAGTGCAAGCAACTTCTTATGGTTTAGGATAGGGTTACATTTCCCTTTCCATTGAGGCACAAAGTCACCATTCACATAATTAAAGTCTCTAGATGGTGGATCAAAATGTAGTTTGACTTGTTAATTTTTCAAGTTAGACTACTGCCCCTTAACATGAGTCTCAAGGGTTAAACAATCTGATGGCCAAAATCAGAACTAGTGGAACAAATTTCCACAATTTGATGGACCAGGTTTAACTTAACTGGTACAATGTATTTGGCATGCAAGCAGTGTTAATGTCACATCTGTCATATTTAAGTATCTGATACTTCTTCCACCATGCATTCATTGCATGTCATTAACTTGACAATTTACAAAAATGACCTTCTTTTTGCATGGCAAGATGGCAGACTCTGGTTGGGGCAGTGTCCTTAAGACTTCTCAGTCTGAAAATAGATATTGGGACAGCAGATTTGAACAGGTAAGATATATAGATGTGTGTAGATAAAGTTTTTAATTAAAATCTATTTCTGGACTTACAGTTTAATCTAATTGATGACATTGCATCCCTCTTGCAGACTTCTAAGAATACTGGTGAAATAATTTTCATGTTTATTATGTAATCTATACCAAGATGTTTGATGGCCCAGTCCCCCCTATATATATATAATGTAAAGAGAGTAATTTTTTGTGATCAAAATAATTATAATAATTATATATGCAATAATTGTTAGTGTTTGTTTTCCAGTTTGATTTATTATAATTTTCTTTCTACTGTAAAAAAAATTTAAGAACTTTGAGAAGGTCTCCTTCCCGGTGAGTATAGTTGGATGTTATCAGGTTTACAGTGGTTTTCACATGCTTGTTACTAAAGAGTTTTTTAAACAGTAGTACTTGGTATTTTCTTGAAAAAATAAGGTTTACAGAAATGTATTTTTTTTAGATGTATGTAGTCTAGGATTTTTGGGAATTTGATCATTTAAAACATTTAATCTTTAAATTTGATGGGTTGAAATTCACCATGATAAATTTGAATGCTAGTATTCAAATTCAAGGCACACAGTGTGTGTAGACTTTAATAAAGACCAGTTGATTTTCCTCGTAGTTTTAGCAGTTTTCCCTTGAGTGCCAAGGTGTACCACATCCAAAACCATTGACCCAGGTACAAACTACTGGTACAAAGCATTTTTCAATTTTCTAAATTTCTAATTCCTACCAACCAGGTGAAATTTGCTTCACGCTGAGAGTGCTTCAATTTTAACTAAATCTAAGAATTCAAAAACAAGTTTAAGGAGGTAAATGTTAAGAATAATTTTGGATATTTTGTAGGTTTTTGAATTGGTGAAAAAATTTGATTTTTGCAACACAAATTTCTAGCACCTGTTGTGTGACTTCAGTATAGTAACTGTTGTCTCTAAATGGTGGTATTGGGCAAATTTCCTTGAAGTAGATATTTTTCAGTGTTTTATATAATGCGTAAGTTTCTTACAGGAACTTCTTTTCAGTATGCAAAAGGATTAATTTCAAATTGGTTATACAGCACTGACAACAATCTTATTTATTTTTTATCATAAGTGGTGGTCAGGGGAGATTATTTTTTTAAATTGTGGTTATGGTGTTACTTTGAATGTTGAGATAAATAAAAATATTAAATGTTTTGTTAATCAAATTTTCAGTAGACTGTTTGATGGGTATGATATTTATCTTTATGCCATAACTGTTCGATATTCTGTTTGATTATGAAATTGGTGTAAGTATTATAATAATCTCAACTTAGCAACAAAAGAGTTGCAGCAGCAGTGCTTTCAAATCAGGGGTTAAACATAGTTTTCCCTGCTGCACCTGTATCCATACCCTTTTATCAAAAGTAGTGGGAATTTATTTCAGGACCTTGAACATTAGATATAAAGATTTACAATATCATGTGATTTTAGTTAATGCTTAACTGTACACACACACACACACACGGGCAGAGGTAATGTGAAAAAGATCCCAACNTATCACCGGCCTTAAGTCTTTGATAATTACTTGTATAGTACATATTTGCTATTGGGGACAAAATTTTAGTGATTAATAATAAGTTGCCAGTCTTTCACCCTGGGTTTGATAGCTTACTGGAAACCCTCTTTTGTTATCACTATTATTTTGCCATTTCCATTGATACCCTGTGAGTTTAAGCAGCCACTCAATTATTATATCTTTATTATTTCTTCTAACTGGAAACATCAGCCAGGAGCATGCTGATTATAGTCTCAGGTGTTTTTTCTTTTACCTCTGAAAATTGGGGGTCACCAATTTAGTGTCTTTTATATACGTATGTACATGTACCCTCAAAAATGTTCCTGTAATAAACCCATGCACTCCATATATTTTCAGGAGAGAAGTTCTCAAGTGGTCTCCAGGGTTGGTGCTTTTTGTGATCAGTATCTATTCAGGCTCCAAGGCTCTCTCAAAAATAGTAAGCAAACTTTGTTCATTGCTGTTCTATTCTGTTTGATTAAATTTGTGATATCAGTGGTTTCTTTATAGCAAAGGTCATGTACCATTTTATAATCAAATTCACTTGATCTCCAGTTACCTTTATTATTCTTTACACTTTACCATGTCATCCACTGTAATTGCATATTGAAACACTTTCTAGAAATTAAACTAAGATATTAATACATATGTGGTGAAAATTTAGCACTGACAGCATATTTTCTTTACTTTCAGCCCATTCCAATATTTTTAGCCTTACATAATCTAACAGATTTTAGTCATGTTATCACTGACACCATTATACATAGAAGGGTGAGTCGTTCAGTCTCTTACACCTCCCTCTCTCTCTCTCTCTCTCTCTCTCTCTCTCTCTCTCAAACACACACACACACACACACACACACTGTTAAAGCAACTTTTTAAATTTTGTTACACATGATGTTTCTTTTAAGGCAACCAATCAGTTCTGTGGTTACAAAAGTATAGGAGAAACTTCTATTTGAATTTGGCCAATTCTGATTGGTTCTATTCTAGGCTGTTCCTTACATTTGATTTTTAGGAATTTTAAGGGTTTGGAAACTTTGACTGTGTGAAACATCATCAGAAGTGTGCAGATACAAAATAGAATAATAGAGAACAAATGATGATGTAACAAAAATAAATTATAATTTCAAGATTTTTATATATATTTTCCAGACCGTTACCCTGGGCCGATATGTGTCCTTGATGTACATCGCTGCGTCCTCCATTATGATCAGCTGGACTGATCCTCAGGTATGCTGAAGTACTTTTTAAAAATTCTGTCCTGTTTCACAAGAGAAAATTGATTTTTTTTTCACTTTGAAATTGGTCAAAACTTCTAGACAAAAAATTTGATTTTAATTTTCATTGTAATTACTCAGTCTTTTCAAAGGGCAAAAATTATCAAACTTTCAGACACATAATTTTATAATCACAAAAATGATTATATTTCTATATGGCATTTGTGGTGCTTTTATTGTATAGAATAGAACTATAGAGTAGCCTGCCTTTTAATTTTGTTGTTACCACTTAATAGGATTGTTCCAATTTTAAGAAATTATTACTTAAAAAATTATCTGTAAAATGCACAATTTTCTCCCATCGAAAAAATTGAATAAATACGGTTATGCTTAAGTGTTAGTAAACACTTGGGAAAAATATATTATTTATAAAATAGAAGTATGCTACATTTTGTTCTTATCACAAGAGCCTCGTAATAAAAAATAAAGACAATGTAGAAACAGATCAAACTGGAAAAGATATGACATGGTTATACTTACTGTCAGTTTTACTTGTTAAATGATAATAAAATAGTAATCATAACAAATCTTCATAATAAATTGAAGCGATTTCAACAGAACAACTACAAGTATGTAATTAGGTATAGAATTGGTTAATTTGTAATAATGTGTATTTAGATATAAGTATATAACATACTAGCATTTATAAAGAGACTAAGTCTTATGTATTTTCAGTTCCACGAGGCGGGGTACTTGTGGATGATGGTACATATATTATCCACTGGGGCACTTGCAATGTACAGCAAAATGACAAAACATTTTCATCTTATACAGCTTGGGTAGGTAGTTTTTCATTTTCTGTCAAACCATTTATTTCCTAGCTGTCCCACAATACATTGATATTTCTACCTTATTTCTACATCTGTCTCATTTTGTTTAAAGGTATCGATATCTGCAGTGACTTCTGTATCTAAACATGGGGCAACATCTGTTTGAAAAAACCTTCTGTTCAGCTAGATATTTTGCAGACAGTTCATGGATGTTTACATTTATCATCCAGCATCATTAAGTCTTTTAAATTACAAAATTGTTTGACAGTGTGTTCTTCCTGATCAAATGGTAGCTAGATGTTTATCATTTGAATTGAGTATTTTTATTTTATTTTTATTTTCAGAGATACTGGTAGACTATATTACAATTATTTATATAGGTAAGTCTGAATTGTGTCTTGAATTGCAGAAGAACTGTTGCCTGTTATTGATTATTGATGATAGTCAATGAAAATAAGATAAAGTAAGGAATATTCTTAGAACACAAACTATCACCAAGAAAAGAAGCAATTACTGAAAGGGATGACAACTATTGAGAGACCCAGATACACTTGAAATTGTAATTATTTTTCTTTTTTAAGAATAACAATCTCTCTTGAGTATTTCATCGAAATTTGCAAAGGACTTTTTGAGGTATTTTGCCTCTAACAAACAGATAGACTGAGGCATATAATATATTTTCTTTTAAATTAGTTTTTATATTTTCAATCAATGTGAAGGATTTTCTTATTCTGTGTTCCCTGCAAGTTTGATCGGCAGGATGAACACCCACTTTCTAATTGAACTTTTTATAGATCTCCTTTGATATTTTGTTCAATTGTTCATTTCAGCTTCATAATATTGGCACCTTCAAGTTATTTCATAGGTAGGTTTATACACTGGATTTGCACTGAATTGTATTTTCAGTGCAAAAGAAATGCTATGAACAACCATTTTTACCAAAAACAGGCAGCCACTTTGTCCTGTTTCAAGCTCAGGCATACTGCAAGTTACAGTACATATTTGTCACCTTTAAGATTATGAACTTGAGTCAAACGGATAAGTCACAAACTTTCCTTTAACTTGCATTAAGCATTTTGTTATTCTTCTAGTAGAGGAATGGAAACATATTTAAATTCTTTATTTGTTCCATTTTCTCCTTTTACTGTTTTTAGGTGATGCCCTAGCAGCAAGGGAATTCCCATTTTTCTACTTATATAAATTTTACGTTGGATGTGTGTCAAGGTAAGCCAGGTCCGGTTCTGGGAGAGGTTCTTGTAATAAATCCTTTAATATATTTTGTTATATTTTTGTTAACTTTTCAACCAACTTTACCAGTCTTCATTGATGTAAGCCATGCATGCCAGTTAGCCAGTGACATTTGGGCCAGTAGTCACAAAGAAAGTTGCTGGACCTTTTTTTTTCTAGACTGACTTTAAATTCAATAAGAGAGCTCTTTAAATTGTTACCAGTCTCTTTGATCGACTGATTCAGAACACAATTTTTTACCAGTTTGTTAAAGTTTTATCTGTATTGACAAGTAGGCGAGGATTGACCACTTGTGTCGTTTCAGCCTGCTACACATCTCAGTTCATGAAGCCAATTTGCACATTTCCTCACTTGTAACACTTTTCCTACCCACTGTCTTCTTGCATCTTTAATTCAATGACCCACTTTCATTTTCAGTGACCTATTTTCACTTTCACTTTCAGTGGAGTTTTTGGTGTGATACTGAGCCTGATTGTGATCAAATATAAAGAGGAATACCACACCTCATTCAGAGCCACGGCCGCTGTCGCAAAGGTGAGGTGAATATCAGTGCAATAAGATAATACCTAAGTTTGTACCAGCAAATTAATTATTATTTATTAAATCCGCCAAGGAGGTTATGTTTTTGGTTCCTTTAGTTTGTCTGTCTGTCTGTTAACAACATTACAGAAAAAGTTATGGACCAATTTTGATGAAATTTTCTGGAACTGTCAGAAGGAACAGATGATTAGTTTTTGGTGGTGATGCGGATCATTAATCAATCAATAATCAATAATCAAAATCAAAAAACTAAATCATTATAGAATGAAAATTTCAGGGTGAAACGGCATTGGGTGGAGACTTTGCTGCATTGGCGGAGGTCTGCGCTCTCCGAGTGCTTTTCTAGTTTCATATCTGGAAATAAAGTTAAAGCTGAGATGATCAAAGGCTTTCAATATTTAACTTCAAATGAACAAATGTTGAACAGTTTTTCTTTTATTTCAGGTTGCCGCTTCCCTTGTGTCCTTGAGTTTATTTGATTTCATTATTACGGCAAGTAACTCATTCTGGTAAGTGTTAATTAATTAATTTATTTTTGTGAGTGTCTGCACCCAAAATTCAGAGATAACTTATCATACTTGATCATCAGTGTTTAATTAAAATGTTTTGTCTTAAATGACTGGCCAGTCATATAAAATACCATGGCTTCCTGTACATTTCAGAAAGAACCTTCAAAGTCTGTTACTTTTATTTTAGGGGTTTTATCTTTTTTTTTTAAGGTTAGAATTGAAAAAGTAGCTTTGCAGAATATGTAGACCTAGAAAATATGACTTTGGGATATTTTAAAAATGTGTACAGTGTGCCAGAAACCAAGGAATTTGTTCTCTTTATTGTATTGTATTGCATTGTATTGTCATTGAAGGGTATGTTCCAACCAGCTAGCCAGCGTGGCCATCAGCCTTTTAGAACAACTGGACCCCATACCAAGAGAGATGGAAGAAAGTGACCTGAAAACCAAGCAGAACGGTGTGTCAGAAGCCACAGGGTCTGCCATTGTCTGAGAGAGAGAGAGAGAGAGAGAGAGAGAGAGAGAGAGAGAGAGGGAGGGAGAGAGAGAGAAGTTATGAGTTGTGTGAGAGAGAGTGATATGTACGAAGGTTGAGTAAATTCAAGCAAAAAGACGCTGAGCCTCATAGGTCACCTAGTGCTACTACAAACAGTGCCGTTAAAGATTGGTACTATTCCCCTGACATATGTGAGCCTGAATCAAAGTCAACATTAGAGCAATGAACTACCAAAAGAACAATCAAAAAAAAACAGAATGATACAGAGAAACCACAGGATGAGTGAGGGAAAACAGAAAGTGGTACACCTTTGGAAAGATTTATAAAAATTCCAGTTCCTACATGACTATTCTTGAGACACACTAAATGACATTAAAAGACATTCAAAGTCATATAATATGGACAAAATATTAATGTTGGAATCAGGGAGCATACTTCCCACAGAATGCTCAAGTGCAAAAAGAATCTACTTCCATTTTAATTTAAAAAATATTTTAGGGAGAACTGTGCTGGTGGATATGTCCATTGAGTCTCTTGTATTATAAATCATAAAATATGCATAATATGATATAAAAACAGATAATGTTTGCTGTACAACAAATAGTGGTTTACTGGTTGCTTATGTATAAAATATTTCCAAATCCTTAAGTCATATAGAGTCACTAGAATTTTTTTAAATTATTTTTTTAACAAGTTTGTTTCTTGTTTGGTCAGAAGTAGCTGTACTGAGTGTAAGGCTCACAACTGGTGATTCTTAATCTTAATAGAGAGGCTATTGAGTTGTCAATCTTTAAAAATGTACCAGTACAGATGGTATCAGTAAAGTAAAGGTAAGATTATGGAAGGAATGCCAAGAGCTTTGCTGGAGGCAGTTTATTGATGTTTACAACTACTTAGCACACAAATGGATAAATTTGTGTCTTATCCAACAGTTTAATTTATAACAATATTTTTATTCAGTCAAAGTAAGAAACCCCACAGCGGGTAGAGAATATATGTTATTTGCATTTTATGCACACTGGTGATAGGAAATATACTAATATATGTTATATTTGAATGACTTTTGTTTACTTAATATTAAATTCTTATGCTACACTCCCTTCCCAGAACACCGTTTCATATGTGACAAGGTTAATGCAGAGCCAGGATGAAAAAGTTAATATATTATTTGTAACATGTTGAAAATTTCATGTGTACATTTTGAGTTCTTTTAATTTGGCAAGTTTGGTTACACAGGCTGAAATGTCTATACAAGACATTTCTCCATCTATTTGAAAATATTGAATCTCACATTATTTTTCATTGAAGTGCTTTCAACTCATTGGAGGATAAATTTTAGGTTGGTTGCAAACTTAGTTAATAAAGAGCCTTAGCATGTCAAAAAACTTCTAAAAACCGGTCAGTTGTCTTGGGCTTTTTAGTTCAAGTAGATAAGAGAGGAAAAACATAACATGAAAGAGAATTTTCATCCTTAAGTTGCATTAGATCATTTTTCTGATGGTGCTAAAAGTTGTAAAATTTTGGCAAAGTCAGTTTTTGTGGATGCAATAGATAGCAAAGATTGCAAGGTCAAGGTCAGCAGAACAAAGTGAAGGTCACCCATTGATTATTATGAGGTGGTGTTTGATCCCGGAAAGATAACATATGTATAAGAAAAGACAAACAGATGAATAAAAGTGTACAACAGGGCTTTTATTGTTTCTAGCATGTCATGCAGTAAAAGTGTTTTTTTCAGCAGAAATGTACTTTATTTATAATATCATAAAATGTCACAATAATCTGAAGGAAGTTCGTCGTTAAAAGAAAAAAATATAATAGCATGTCATCGTCATAAGAAGAAAATATACTAAGAAAATATACTATAAGTTTGACTTGCTTACTCAAAATAGAGACATTTTCCATAAAAACTTGTAGGTCAAAACTACAATGAAAAATGACAGAATTTGTCCATAACTAATGTGCACTTCTTTTGTAATGTTCCGTTTTACATTGACTTCAAGATAAGCAATGACCAAAATTTCACTGAAACTTTAACTTACATCTTTGAATTGTTATCTTCCCAATTAAGTTCTCACTAACTAAGAACTCCATTCAAAATTATGAGCAAGACAGACAAGATATTTCATTACTTCTAACAAGTTGCCCTTTGGTTAAAATTCCCAGAAAAAATCTACTTTGGAAAATAGCTGTATGCCGTGTTTTATTCCCAATTAAAGAGACACAGGTGCTGTGTCTACTTCGCCACTACTTGTACAATGAAGGTTTCTTCTTGAGCACCGGCACTAAAATAACAATAAAACAAGGTGTTATACTATTGTTTATAATATTAATTCTGTCAGTGTAAATGCTATATAGGAGGAAAACCGTGGTATGAAAAACTGAGGCCAAATTTGTAATTTTGTTTTTTTCTTCGCACAAGGCTTGGGATGAATTTTTCCCAATTTTGTGTTTTTCCGAGGAAGAGTTATTTTTGTATAAAGGTCATTCATTAAATATCTATCAAATATGACTAATTTTGGTAAATAAAGTATATGCCATCTAGAGTAAAGAGAGAGAGAGAGAGAGAGAGTGGGGGGGGGAGAACTTACTTATATGATGTTATTCCATTCCTTGCTGAACCTGTAAGGGAGGATTTCTCTTCTCCAGCTACGAACGTTACCAGACCACCATCTTGCCCGTTCACATGACGACCAGCTGGACAGATGCCAGAATACTGGAAAAAACACGCATTTTGGTAAATTTCTTCCAATTCTAATATACATTACACAAAGCACATAAGTATGTATATTTACATTAAAAACAAAATACTATTTCTTAAAGGGATAATAACTCTTCGTATAAGATCTATATTTCACCATAAAATCATTGTTAACAACTCATAGAGATATAATATATTCTGTTTTACTGCAAAAACGGCAGTTATAGTTATTATTCTGATATCTGAGCTTGTCTTTAGACCACGTGACCTCCACTGACAGCTATACTGTTATAATCTGTTAGGAGATTATAACAAAAAAAAAAACACTTTATAGAAAAAAATCAGGGAGTAACATTGAATGTATAAATGGATTCATTAACCATTGGTAAGTATGGGAAAATTGTTGTTTACTCCAGGAAATTTCATTTTTGGCCAAAACGAAAAGTTATTATCCCTTTAATTTGTTTGAAAACGGAGCACAGGAAACAGAATTAGTGAATACAGAAAAATGTATTTTGTTAATAATAACATTCATTATAGTTCAACAAAAATTCCAAAATGATGTTAGAAATGAATGTGCATTTGTATTGTTTCCACTTCAATATTTTATTGAAGTTCCTTTTCCAAACAAACAAGATCAATTGATTGAATAAAACATTCAGATACTTACATTTAGAACTCATAAATCATAGAAATTCTTAATCTACTTACACTTCTTTATCTGTCTTATTTTAATTTCATTTTTATCAAATTAAATGTTTTGCCTTGATAACTTACCGGAGCATAAAAGTCAGTACCATATACCCTGCTACCACGAGTGCATCCACTTCGACACCAGACTCTGAAAAATAGTATGTTTTTAAACTCTATCCACTTATTCTTTTTTCTTTTAAATTTCAAATAAAACCAGTACTTTTTATTGGACAAAGAGGCGTTTTTTCGTTGATATTGGGTATTTAGAATTTTGTCCTCCCAAAAGTTTTTTTTTTCTGAAATATGTCAAATTTAAGCAAAATTACTGTCACTGACACCAAAATAACATCCATTTTCTGCAGTACTTTTGTTTTCCGTGTAAATTGTCTATGACCTTATGTTTCTCTTAGATGCCAGTAAAAAAATATTTAAAAAATTTAAAAAATAATACAAATTTAATAAATGTATAAAAAATCACAAAATGGACAAATGTAGCAATCCCTATAAAAATAATAATACACGAAGAAGAAAATAAAATGAATTTAAAAAAATACTGACCTGCAAGGTTCTGTGCCAAAACGATGCTTACAAGTCTTTGACCAATGTGAGTAGCAGTCCAGCTCGTAAACACAACCCATGTTACCGCCACCGAGGTCTTTACACGTCTGGAAGGACTCACAACCTTCACATCCAGCCGTGGTCTCAACGAAACTGAATGCCGAGGGCCAAGATCGGTGGAACCTGAGCATAACCAACACAGAATATAACTATTATTTTAATATTTTTAAATTTAATTGGTCGAATTATTTATAATTGGGACGATTGGTTCATTGTAAGTATTACAGCTCTGAATAAATCAAAACAAACGAATTAACTGAAAAATAAAGACAATAAAGAGACACGATAAATAAAATAAAAAATAAATAAATATGATAACGCCTACCCGTGTGAAGTGATAGAGTTTCTGACGGTTCCTGCAAACGAGACTTGATTGCCTTCGCCTTTCGCTGTCACTACCCCTCCTTCGGATACTTCCTGTATGGCGTGGGCTGCTGCTCGGCAGACGGCAGAATTCTGGGTGTGAAAGTTTAAACATTTCAGGTGCATTTTGACTTTGCAATCCATAAATGAATTTCACATTTTTAAAACCATTTAATAATATGGCTGAAATATTAGTATAACAGTTGGTCTGGCCTTATCTGTGAGCGTAAATCAAAAAACCAGAACCACAGCAAAAAATGTCAATCATTGATAATTTTGCAAACGGCTTTTGATATGATGTACATAGGAGATTAATGCAAAGATGCTCGAGTTTTCAGAAAAATTATCATTTTCAATATTATTATCAATTCATTAATTTTGTTTTTGAAGTTGGTCTTACGCACACTGCTTGGTTTTAAATATTCTTCGTGAAATGGAAAACGGGCTAAATTGATACAATGTCCTTGCATGGTTGCCATAAAAGTTCAGATTTATAAGCCAAGTTTACCAGCAGTACTACAAAAGGTAGAGTTGGCGAAGCACATGTGAAATAACTTACATTGTGGTAAATGTCCGTTCCCCAAATGCTTCCTCCACGCGCACATCCTGCTCGGCAATTCACTCTGAATAAAAATTATTAATATTTGCTTACTTCAAGATAGAATTTACATTTAATTGATTTTTGTTGGTTTCATATGGTCATCAACAGTTAAATCCACAATTCAAGTTTGTGAACTCCATTTCATTCATAATCAAATACTAATTTGTTTGTTATTCATACTTCCTTTTCCATCATACTTTCCAACAAGGGGACTATATTTTGCCTTTGTTAATTTGTTGGTTTGCTAGTTATCCTGAAAATTATGGGCCAATATTGATTCAATTTTCGAGATCGATCTACACTGGGATAACCTAGAACAGTTCAGAATTCAATGATTAATCACGAAATAATATGAGAATTGAGGTGCCTTCTTTTTAAGTGTATTTCAAATGTTCCTTACTTGCACTCATCGTTACCAAATCGATGTTCGCATGTGTCGGCCCACTTAATGTAGCAATCCAGGTCCAGAGCGCATCCCAACTGTCCCTCAGTGACGTTAACACAGGTCTGGTATGGTTCACACTTAATGCCGGCAGCGGCGCATTCGTCGTTGGCCTCGGCAAAGCTGAATGATTCTGGATAACGCCTATGGTATCTGTCCACAGAATAATTAAGTTGTTAAGACAGATTGATTACACCACTGATCGTTACAAAATGGATCGTGACTGTCAGTGTCAAGAAGAAAAATTTAACGATGATGTCAGGTTCATTCGTTCGTTCATGCTTTCCGTCTCCCTTTGTCTCTCTATGCGAAAAACCTCCTGGTAAATATACAGGGGCGGATCCAGGATTATTAGAAGGGGGGCCCGTAGATGCGAGGACGACCCCCCCCCCCCCCCCCCCCCCCCCCCCCCCCCCCCCCCCACCCACCCCACCCCACCCCCACCCACCCCCCCCCCACCCACCCCCCCCCCCACCCCCCACCCACACACCCACACACGCCGTCTGAAAACAGATTTAGATAAGGAGCGATATGTTTCAGTAAACTGTGCACGTTTATATATAGCTATTGACAGCAATTGTCCTGTTATGTTAAATCATTCATTGGGCAGATTTGTTTCCCTTCCCTCTAACTTGATTGAAATATCACGATCCTGCCTGTAATTTTCCTTCCTTTTTTAAAATTTCACATGCATCTCTCACTTACTCCAATTTCAAGTCCACGTTTTAAGTTTCCTCCAGTTTATAGAATAATAACAATAATGCATTTACTTAAAGTGCTCTACCCATTATTCAGTAGGGTTTACAACATATAATATTAATAAAAGTTTATAGGTAAGAGTGATAAATAGATATATAGAATGATAAGTACATGCATGTTACAAACGAGTGTACGTGTTTTAATTCTTTTATTTTTTTTCATTTAACGCTTTAATTTGCCTACGGAATTTCTTCTTTTGCTTTAATGCACACCCTGGGTTCGGAGGACACGAGCAATCCGTTCTCCACTATCTTGGGTGGGTGGGTCTAATGGTAGATAGATGAGTTCCCAGTGTCGCTTGAAACTCAGGGTGTCACAAGGGCACTTCCAAGAAATCAAGATAATGAGGTCATATCGCGTACGCGCCCCTCACATGANGGGGCGGGGCCAGGATTATTAGAAGGGGGGCCCGTAGATGCCGGGAACCCCCCCCCCCCCCCCCCCCACACACACACACACACCCACACACACACACACACCTACCCTCCAGTAGAAACTCCATTCCTCACAGTTCCAGAAAACGCACGTTGTTCGCCTTGAGAAAGCGCCGTTACAACGCCGCCTTTTTGGATGCCCCCCATGCTGTGAACAGCAGCCCGGCAAACGGCGGAATTCTGTAGGACAAAGAATAGAAATAGTGTGTTAATGTGTGATTGTGACGATGTTAATAATCCTAGACGTTTACACGGTTGCGAATATGTGTGCATAGCACGTGTGTATGCTAATGCAAGCCCGTTCGCGGGCGCGTAGTCCTTTTAAATTTGCTTAAACATTGCTTACGTTGTAGAAAAAAAAACCCTGTTTAGTGTAGGCGCATTGGTTAAGATATGTGACTGTGTGTAACAAAAGAACGAAATATTTTCAATGTAGTGAATTCTAGGTATAGACTTCCACAATGAAAAAGTAATTTTAAATTAATAGTTCTACTTGTTCATTGTAACTTACATTATGGTACATTGCAGAACCCCAGACGCCACCGCCACGTGCACAACCCGACCGACACTGCACCCTGAAAATCACAAAACATTGTTATTTGATAGATGAGTTAACCGAAATATTGCAGTCTGATCGAATTGCTCTTTCTCCAAAAACTAAGAAAGAGAGGGAGTTTTTTTGTGGATGATTAAAAGTTATAAGGGAACTCCTCTTAATTATCTTTATATACTTATCAAATACTAATTTCTTTTATTCATTATTCCTTTTCCATCATTTCTTCCACCACGTGGATTATGTTTTTGCTTTTGTTAATTTGTTGGTTTGCTAGTTACCTTAAAAATTACGAGTCGATTTTGATTAAGTTTTCAGGATAGGACTGAAATGGGGATCATNTACATTTAGAACTCATAAATCATAGAAATTCTTAATCTACTTACACTTCTTTATCTGTCTTATTTTAATTTCATTTTTATCAAATTAAATGTTTTGCCTTGATAACTTACCGGAGCATAAAAGTCGGTACCATATACCCTGCTACCACGAGTGCATCCACTTCGACACCAGACTCTGAAAAATAGTACGTTTTTAAACTCTATCTCACTTATTCTTTTTTCTTTTAAATTTCAAATAAAACCAGTACTTTTTATTGAACAAAGAGGCGTTTTTTCGTTGATATTGGGTATTTAGAATTTTGTCCTCCCAAAAGTTTTTTTTTCTGAAATATGTCAATTTTAAGCAAAATTACTGTCACTGACACCAAAATAACATCCATTTTCTGCAGTACTTTTGTTTTCCGTGTAAATTGTCTATGACCTTATGTTTCTCTTAGATGCCAGTAAAAAAATATTTAAAAAATTTAAAAAATAATAATAATTTAATAAATGTATAAAAAATCACAAAATGGACAAATGTAGCAATCCCTATAAAAATAATAATACACGAAGAAGAAAATAAAATGAATTAAAAAAAATACTGACCTGCAAGGTTCTGTGCCAAAACGATGCTTACAAGTCTTTGACCAATGTGAGTAGCAGTCCAGCTCGTAAACACACCCCATGTTACCGCCACCGAGGTCTTTACACGTCTGGAAGGACTGACAACCTTCACAACCAGCCGTGGTCTCAACGAAACTGAATGCCGACGGCCATGATCGGTGGAACCTGAGCATAACCAACACAGAATATAACTATTATTTTAATATTTTTAAATTTAATTGGTCGAATTATTTATAATTGGGACGATTGGTTCATTGTAAGTATTACAGCTCTGAATAAATCAAAACAAACGAATTAACTGAAAAATAAAGACAATAAAGAGACACGATAAATGAAATAAAAAAATAAATAAATATGATAACGCCTACCCGTGTGAAGTGATAGAGTTTCTGACGGTTCCTGCAAACGAGACCTGATTGCCTTCGCCTTTCGCTGTCACTACCCCGCCTTCGGATACTTCCGGTATGGCGTGGGCTGCTGCTCGGCAGACGGCAGAATTCTGGGTGTGAAAGTTTAAACATTTCAGGTGCATTTTGACTTTGCAATCCATAAATGAATTTCACATTTTTAAAACCATTTAATAATATGGCTGAAATATTAGTATAACAGTTGGTCTGGCCTTATCTGTGAGCGTAAATCAAAAATCAGAACCACAGCAAAAAAATGTCAATCATTGATAATTTTGCAAACGATTTTTGATATGATGTACATAGGAAATTAATGCAAAGATGCTCGAGTTTTCAGAAAAATTATCATTTTCAATATTATTATCAATTCATTAATTTTGTTTTTGAAGTTGGTCTTACGCACACTGCTTGGTTTTAAATATTCTTCGTGAAATGGAAAACGGGCTAAATTGATACAATGACCTTGCATGGTTGCCATAAAAGTTCAGATTTATAAGCCAAGTTTACCAGCAGTACTACAAAAGGTAGAGTTGGCGAAGCACATGTGAAATAACTTACATTGTGGTAAATGTCCGTTCCCCAAATGCTTCCTCCACGCGCACATCCTGCTCGGCAATTCACTCTGAATAAAAATTATTAATATTTGCTTACTTCAAGATAGAATTTACATTTAATTGATTTTTGTTGGTTTCATATGGTCATCAACAGTTAAATCCACAATTCAAGTTTGTGAACTTCATTTCATTCATAATCAAATACTAATTTGTTTGTTATTCATACTTCCTTTTCCATCATATTTTCCACCAAGGGGACTATATTTTGCCTTTGTTAATTTGTTGGTTTGCTAGTTCTATTAAAATTAAAGGTCAATATTGATTCAATTTTCAAGATAGAAAATGGGATAACCTAGAACAGTTCAGAATTCAATGATTAATCACGAAATAATATGAGAATTGAGGTGCCTTGGCGGAGGTCTCTGCACCTCGGAATTCTTTTTAAGTGTATTTCAAATGTTCCTTACTTGCACTCATCGTTACCAAATCGATGTTCGCATGTGTCGGCCCACTTTATGTAGCAATCCAGGTCCAGAGCGCATCCCAACTGTCCCTCAGTGACGTTAACACAGGTCTGGTAAGGCTCACACTTAATGCCAGCAGCGGCGCATTCGTCGTTGGCCTCGGCAAAGCTGAATGATTCTGGATAACGCCTATGGTATCTGTCCACAGAATAATAAAGTTGTTAGGATAGATTGATTACACCACTTATCGTTACAAAATGGATCGAGACTGTCAAGAAGAAAATTTAACGATGATATCAGGTTCATTCGTTCGTTCATGCTTTCCGTCTCCCTTTGTCTCTCTATGCGGAAAACCTCCTGGTAAATATACAGGGGCGGATACAGGATTATTAGAAGGGGAGTCCGCAGATGCGAGGAAGACCTTCCCCCCCCCCCCCTCACACACCTTGGCGTGGGGCTCGGCTCCCCCATAAAGGTCCAAAAAAAAAACTAGTATTTTAAAGGGCAAACGGTGCCATTTGGTACTGTTTGGAACTTTGACTCAGCTAGTCAAATTTTAATTTCAAGAGGGGACCATTGGTGTGATTCTTTTTAGAAATCGAAGGGGGTCAGTACCCCCCTGACACCCCCTCCCTAAATCCGCCACTGAATTTGGTGCAATCCGGAAAATATATGATAAAAACTAGTCCATGTAAAATGATCTTATATATATATATGAGAAAAACTTTTTGAGAAATTGTATCAACTTCTTACCATTATTTTACAACATAACTTCACAGGATTACATGACTTTCGGGTACAGTTGCAGGGGAGGGTTTGGGGGAGATGGGGAGGGGGTGAAATCACCCCACCCCCACCCCCTTCCGAAATTCCGAATCCGCCCCAGGTCTTGAATAAAATTTGTATCAAAATTTACTTAAATTAAAAAATAATATACCTACCCTCCAGTAGAAACTCCGTTCCTCACAGTTCCAGAAAACGCACGTTGTTCTCCTTGAGAAAGAGCCGTTACAACGCCGCCTTTTTGGATGCCCCCCATGCTGTGAACAGCAGCCCGGCAAACGGCGGAATTCTGTAGGACAAAGAATAGAAATAGTGTGTTAATGTGTGATTGTGACAATGTTAATAATCCTAGACGTTTACACGGTTGCGAATATGTGTGCAAAGCACGTGTGTATGCTAATGCAAGCCCGTTCGCGGGCGCGTAGTCCTTTTAAATTTGCTTAAAGGGATAATAACTCTTCGTATGAAATCTATATTTCACAATAAAAACATTGTGAATAACTCACAGAAATATAATATATTCTGTTTTACGATGAAAACAGCAGTTGTAGCTATTATTCTGATATCTGAGCTTGTCTTCAGATCACGTGACCTCCGTTGATGGCTATACTCTGTTATAATCTCTTAAGAGATTTTAACAAAAAACCAAACTTTTTAGAAAAAAACCAGGGACTAACTTTGAATGTAAAAATGGATTCATTAACCATTGGTAAGTATGGGAAAATTGTTGTTTACTCCAGGAAAATTCATTTTTGGCCAAAACGAAGAGTTATTATCCCTTTAAACATTGCTTACGTTGTAGAAAAAAAACACCCTGTTTAGTGTAGGCGCATTGGTTAAGATATGTGACTGTGTGTAACAAAAGAACGAAATATTTTCAATGTAGTGAATTCTAGGTATAGACCTCCACAATGAAAAAGTAATTTAAAATTAATAGTTCTGCATGTTAATTGTAACTTACATTATGGTACATTGCAGAACCCCAGACGCCACCGCCACGTGCACAACCCGACCGACACTGCATCCTGAAAATCACAAAACATTGTTATTTGATAGATGAGTTAACCGAAATATTGCAGTCTGATCGAATTGCTCTTTCTCCAAAAACTAAGAAAGAGAGGGAGTTTTTTTGTGGATGATTAAAAGTTATAAGGGAACTCCTCTTAATTATCTTTATATACTTATCAAATACTAATTTCTTTTATTCATTATTCCTTTTCCATCATTTCTTCCACCACGTGGATTATGTTTTTGCTTTTGTTAATTTGTTGGTTTGCTAGTTACCTTAAAAATTACGAGTCGATTTTGATTAAGTTTTCAGGATAGGACTGAAATGGGGATAATCTACACGTGCAATCGATCAGACTTCATTGATTAAAGGGATAATAACTTTTCGTATGAGATCTATATTTCACAATAAATATATTGTAAACAACTCTAGAAAAACATAATATATTCTTTTTTGCCACAAAAACGGCAGTTGTAGCAACAAATCTGAAATATATGCTTGCCATCGGACCACGTGACCTCCATTGTCTCTGTTAAGAGATTATTACCAAAAAAAAAACTTTTTAGAAAAAAAAAAAAAAAAAACAGGGACTAACTTTGAACGTAGAAATGGATTCATTAACCACTGGTAAATATGAGAAAATTGCTGTTTACACCAGGAAAATTCATTTTTTGGCCAAAATGAACAGTTGGTATCCTTTTAATCACGAAATAATCCTAGAAATGAGGTGCCTTGGCGGAGGTCTCTGCACCTCGGAGTTCTTCTTAAGTTTATTTAAAATTTTCCTTACTTGCATTCGTCGTTCCCAAATCGATGTTTACATGTGTCGGCCCATTTTACGTGGCAATCAAGGTCCAGAGCGCATCCCAACTGGCCCTCAGTGACGTTAACACAGGTCTGGTATGGCTCACACTTAATACCGGCAGCGGCGCATGCGTCATTGGCCTCGGCAAAGCTGAATGATTCTGCATGACGCCTATGGTATCTGTCCACAGAATAATAAAGTTTTTAGGACAGATTGATTACAACAATGACGTTACAAAATGGATCAAGGCTGTCATAAAAGAATATTTCTAACGATAATATATAGGGTTAATTTGTTCGTTATGCCGTCCGAACCCCTCTCTATGCAAAAAACCTCCTGGCAAATATGGTGCAATCCGGTAAAGATCTGATAAAACCAACTGCACATAAATGCTCTTAAATATGAGAAATACTTTTTAAAAAATTATATCTTCTTACCTTTATTTTATAAGATCATAAGACTACCCGACTTATTTTCGGGTACAGATGTAGGGGAGATTTTGGGGCGATGGTTAGTTGGAGTGAAATCAAACCCTCTTCCGAAATCATGGATCTATCCCAGGTCTTGAATAAACTTTGTCTCAAATCACTCTGTAATTTATAAGCAATAATATACCTACCCTCCAGAGGAAACTCCATTCCTCACAGTGCCAGCAAAAGTAAGTTGTTCTCCTTGAGAAAGCGCCGTTACAACGCCGCCATTTTGGATGCTCCCTATGCTGTGGACAGCAGCCCGGCAAACGGAGGAATGCTGTAGGTCAGAGAATAGAAATAGTTTGTATTAACATATTAAAATATGTGTGAATGTGTCAGTGCTAAAAACCTATTTGTTTACACGGTTGAGAATATGTATGTGCCTTTGCTTGTATTCATGCTAATGGAAGCCAGTGCTTGGGCCCATTTTTGATTTAATATTGTTTACGTCGTAGGAAAAAACACCATGTCTATTGTAGACCTACACTTTCTTGATAATTTATGTGGCTGTGTAAAAAAATAACAAAAATATTTTTAATGTGGTGAGTTTTAGGTATAGGCTTTGACAATTAAAAAAGGTACTCTAAAATTGGCAGTCCTACTTGTTAATTGTAACTTACATTATGGTACATTGCAGATCCCCAGACGCTACCGCCACGTGCACAACCCGGGCGACACTGCACACTAAAATTATTACATAAAAAATTCTAACTAAACAGATTAATTAATCGAAATATTGCATTCTGGACAGATTGCCGTGTTTCTCAATCGCTTTTAGAAAGAGGGGGGAGTTTTCGTTAATGATTCAAAGTGAAAAGTAAACTCCCCATAATTAAATATAATAACATAAATTGAGAGAGAGAGAGGTCGCATTCAGAACAGTGGACTAACTAGTCCGCGGGTCAAATATGGCGACCCGCTTAAAAGCTTGCCGTCTAATCCCCTAATAGACACTGAACAGGTTCCCCGTGGGGAAGTATTCAAGTGGGTCGTTCATATTTGACCCTCGGACTAGTTAGTCCACTGTTCTGAATGTGGCCAGAGAGAGAGAGAGAGAGAGAGAGAGAGAGAGAATTTTTTGGAGAAGGACATGTGCTCTATCAACTCACCTGCACGGCTCATCTCCAAAACGGTGTTTACAGGTTTCGGCCCAGCGGACGTGGCAATCCAGAGCAATCACACAGCCCAACTTCCCCTCGCTAACCTCCACACAGGACTGGTAGGGTGCGCACTTGATTCCAGCATCAGCGCATGCCTTGCCCGCCTCGGCAAAGCTGAACGACTTGGGCCAACGTCGATGATATCTGAGAATGGATAAATAAATATGTTGATTTTCCTTCGTGTGAACTATTTACCCTTCTTTTTTGCTCGTTATCTGTTCATGTATGACACTTTTAACTTCATTTTGACCGATTTCTTGTTCTAAATTTTGTTTATGTAGATATCTTCAAGTTTGTTTCGCTATTTAATGAAACGTGAATCCACAAAATACACTTTTCCCTGTTTGAATATTTGCACCAACTTCATAAAGCAATAGTCTAAACCAATACATTTTCACTTCAAAAGGCATAAAATTTAAAAAGAAGACATAAAACCTACCCGCCTGAGCCGACGCCATTTCTCTCTATCCCTGGGAAGTTGAGTTGTTCACCTTGAGGCAGAGCTGTTACGACGCCGCCTTCTGACATGGTAGAGATAGCATGGACAGCAGCTCGGCAAACGGACGAGGTCTGGAGGTAAATATGACAAATTTAAAGAAACGATATTTATCAGCAGATCACAGAGAATTCTCTTCACTAGATATTCATTGAAATTTCTCCTATGCGATAGATTTCGCATGTCTGTATTGTTAAACTGCGATAACTTCTGCACAAAAATAGCGTCATCATCCAACTGGTCTCTGTTACGAGTAACAAATTTAATCATCTTACAAAATATTAAGAATAAATTTTATGTTTGCACACGTGCGCACTTTTGTGTGTGTGTGTGTGAGCGCATGTGCGTGTACGTGTGGGAGAGTGACAAGAAAATTTTCACTATATGCATATGTATGGAGCGTTAATATTCATGTTTGTGTGCGTGTACAGCAAAAAAACTCACGTTAAAGTAAACGTCGGCGCCGACCACACCTCCTCCACGACTACAACCCTCTGGGCACATCACCCTAAAAGTAAAATAATGAAACTTAAATGAAAATTTATGAAAAACGAAATTTAATCAGATCCCCATGATGGATTTTTCAACTTAGGCCTACTTGATATGAATTAATATTTTGATGTTTCAAAATGTTACGGTGTCTATAATCATCTGTTATTATTTAATTATTTTTGTAGCTATTGTTTTTTCCTTTTTTCATACCACTGATGTTAAGTGCATCAAGATTTTCATCACTTAAGGGTTTAAATGGCGGGAATCACGTAAATTTCCATTAAATCCACGTTCACTGAAAGCACGTATTTAGTTAATGTGACCTGATTCTGGGGACATCCTATGGAGAAACCGTAAATAATTTGTCCTAAAATGCAGTGACATACTTGCAAGCTTCAGCTCCAAAATTATGTTCACAGATCTGGCCCCAATTACTGTAACAATCAGTTGCCAAGGCACAGGCAAGTTTTCCGTCTCCGACATCGGCGCAAGTTTGGAAAGGCTCGCATTTGAGGCCAGCCTCTGCGCATGCGCTGGTGGTCTCCAGGAAACGGAAGGTTTCTCCCCATCCTCTGTGATTTCTGGAAATGGTTCAATTGAAATGCGTTTATTAAACTTATCTTGAAGGTGGGCGAATTTTTGGTATCAAACATAGAGCTTAGCTAATTGAAAATTTTTAATTGACTTTATAGATATTGAAATATTGATACAACTTATTTTGAAGAGAATTCTACGGTCCTAGAAATGAATTGATATACCGGCGTTTAAGAGCACAGCAGGTGAATTATTTGTCTAAAATCAATTTCATTTTATAACTAAGAACCGAATTAAACCTAAACATACATTATTTCAAAGAGGAGAGAGAGAGAGAGAAACGAACCTTCCAGAGCCGGCGCCATTTCTAACTAGGCCAGCGAGGTAGTTTGTCGCCCCTTGGGGCACCGCCGTCACTACGCCGCCCTCGTTCTGGCTGGCAATGGCGTGCACTGCGGCCCGGCAAACAGCTGATCCCTACAGAAAAACAATAATATTCACTTTTATACAACTTATTATTGTATGGATGCATATCAACAGACGGTCAGACAGTGAGACAGGCGAACAGACAGAGAAACGGACTACCAGCTGAACATGCGTAAACATTTAAGCGCATGCGTGCATAAATTAGAACAAATATTACCAGATTAAAAAAAGTATGACATACGTTTTGACAGGTGGGGTACGAGTTCATATAGTCTTATAAATAGAGAGGCTAAGAAAACTCACATTGTGGTACACATCTGCTCCATATATGCCACCGCCTCTGGAGCACCCAGCTTGGCACAACACCCTGAAATAAAGCAAACATATTTGTTTTATATTTTAACAATCAAATAGATTTTTTAAAAATCAAAATTACTTACATCGCCATGGTTAGCCAGTTGTGACAAAAATTGGTACTTCTACCAGAGGCACAGATTTTTTTTTACTAAATACATTTACGTTGTTTCTTATGCTATCTATTCATAACCAGTTTAAAATTGACGCCATGAACTAGTTGAGTCCCTATTAGTGAGTAAAAAGCTGTGAAAGTGGCCAGAGAGTACGTGTTACTAGTAACAGCTCAGTGCCAAAGTGTTCCACGGCAGACTCACTTGCATTCTCCTTGTCCGAAGTGATACTTGCAGGTGTCTGTCCACTTGGCATAACAATCTAGCTGCATAGCGCAGCCCAGTTTGCCGTCTTTGTCTTCAGCACAGGTCTGGAAAGGTTCGCACTTAATACCGGCAGCGTCACAGGCGCTCGCGGTTTCGGCAAAACTGAAGGTTTCGGGCCATCTTCTATGGAACCTGTAGAAACATAAATATTTTAGATATACAAGTTTACATGATGGCGATTATTAAAAAAGAAAGTGATATGTATACGATTATCTCAAAGGCTATTTCTTGGCATTATCCATGAATAAATAAGTAGCATACACAAAAGGAAATATCGGTAGGCATATTCTCTGAATAGCCTGAGAGGCTGTCGTTTTCACGTCAACAATATTAAAAGAGTAGTATTTTATTTTTAGTGTTTTTATATGGTAATAGTGTATAGCCAACAATACTTTCATCCAATTCTACAGAAACAAAATGGTATTTGCAATAAAAAACGTGATGATTATTCATCTGGATGGATCGTACATAAAAGGAAAAATAGATGGCAAATTTCTCGCAGAAATCACCCTATTTCGTCTAACCATTCTAGTGGCTTTAATACGCCATTTTTGCGATTTTCGCCATTTTCCACAAGTTCCAATAATGTTCAGGTTGCAATAATTAATTATAATAATAGCAACGTTCTTGTGGAAAGAAAAGGGGGGGCTGAAAAGCGACCTACCTCCCAGAGCTAACGCCATTTTTAGCCATCCCGGACAAATAAAGTTGTTCGCCTTGAGGAAGTGCGGTCACAACACCGCCTTCTTTCATGTCCGCGATTGCATGTATGGCAGCACGGCAGACAGCAGAATTCTGTAATGAAAGAAATGCACTGAATTGTGAAAGTTACCTTTTTTAATTGTTCTTATTCGGTACGACAAGGAGAAATAAACAAAGTGCGATCGATGCAACAAACGCAAAAATCGTCTCCAGAAACACACTCGAAGCAATTTAAATAGTACTTGGGGTACTTCAACTATCTGCCACATCACATATTTTCTAATTGTTACGAAATTTAATGAAAGTGCACTTTTGCAACAACTACAAGATCTCTGGTATAGAGTAGGACAGGCCTTAAGTTTTCAATGAAACAAACACCACTTACATTGTGATAAACATCCGTTCCCCAAACGCCTCCGCCGCGTGTGCATCCTGAGGGACATTTCACTCTGTCAGAAAGAAACGAAAATAATCACCATCTGAGTTTTGTTGCGAAATTCAGCTCGAAAATATGTTCTAAAAATCTTAGGCCTGAATTTCAGTCTAATTTGGGCCATGACACCATCGTTCCAAGAAGACCGATCAAACTCTGGGACTCTTGCTGAATGCAATCAGAGGAACCATGGACAAAATTTCGAAATTTTATCCTTGGATTAACAGAATATCACGCCTCATCCTAACGTCGAGTTAAATACAGGAAAGCTGTTTATCATGCGATTAAGTTGGAAGTAAGAGGAATCGTGTTAAAAAGAGTATCAAAAAATCTGCAAATGAATATTTCGAAATCAGTATTACTATTATACAACTAAACCACCTTCGATTATACTTATGAACAAAGCATTCCATTTCAGTGTTAAAATTTAAAATATGCTCTGAAATCAAAAGAACATCTTACGGGCAAGGTTTATCGCCGTAAAGATGTTTGCAGGTATCAGCCCATTTCACCCAACAATCTAACTGCATGGCGCACACTGGAGGTTCTTTCTCTCCCATTTCAACACACGTCTCGTGAGGGGCGCATGTCAANAAACAAAACATGCCATTTCAGTGTTAAAATTTAAAATATGCTCTGAAATCAAAATAACATCTTACGGGCAAGGTTTATCGCCGTAAAGATGTTTGCAGGTATCAGCCCATTTCACCCAACAATCCAACTGCATGGCGCACACTGGAGGTTCTTTCTCTCCCATTTCAACACACGTCTCGTGAGGGGCACATGTCAAGCCGGCAGCTGCGCAAGCGCTAGTTGTCTCCACGAAAGCGAAGGATTCATCCCATTTTCTGTGGAAGCTGTAAAGAAAAGATTTATTTATTTATTTATTTATTTATTCAACCATTTATATATTTATAAAATTAGATGAAATAAAATTAATTACAGTGTTATTTAAAAATGGAATAAAGCCTGTGGCCATATTTCAATAAAAGCTAAGGAACAGCATTTTCAATAATAACAAACCATTCTGGCCTAACTCCTTGGGAACTGTTATTAAGTGCTACAAAAAAATATTAAAATTCACACATTTGGCGTTTTAAATATGAATTTTAAAAACATAAGTTGCTCTTTCCACGTGAACCTGTACCCAACAAAAAGAGAAAGAACTCCAAACGTACGGGCTTTTTCCATCAACAGCATGTAATGCAAATGAGATATAAATTCATGAAATAAAGAAAATCCTGAAACATAAAAGACATTTTGAACGTAGAACCTATTAATATAAAATATAAAATAAATGACTTACTTTCCGGAACTGACGTCGTTTCTAACAGAGCCAGGGAAAGTGAGCCGTCCTCCTTGAGCCGTTGCCGTGACAAGACCCCCAGATTTCATTCCTGAGATCGCATGGACAGCTGCCCTACACACTGCCGAGGTCTAGACATTGGAAACAAAATTAACAGTTCTTTTTTCTGATTCTTTATTGATTATTAATAAACAGGAGAATGCGTTTTCATTAGTATTTACTAGCATTTACTAGCGATATCAAAAAGGAAAAGGCATAACTGTTTTTTTTCCCTTTTTTTGGTTAAAAATTGCATATGCATGTACACATTCAGTTGAGGAGACAGATACAGGTTCTTTAATACTATTACTGGGACTGCAGAGTTGAAAAGAAAGCGATTTTTCCCCTGCGTGACCAGTCAAAGTCCTTGCGATAATGACGTTACGTTCTGTGCGTCGTCTGCGTAATTCCAGCAAAAGGTGACAAATATACAGACAACATGCAGCGATGCAATATAATATGTTCTAGAAATGAATAAATGAAATGGAAAATGTGTTAATTAATAAAAGCATCTTAACAAACTATCTCAACTTGATTTATATATTTATCTTCATAAAAATAAAAACGTATCCTTACATTGGTGTAGACGTCACTTCCGTGGACCGAGCCTCCTTTGAAACACCCAGCTGGACACTGAACTCTGGAGGGAGAAATTAACAGTCTTAACTGGGAGAATATCTTTTATATTTAATATGTGTATGTGTGCGTGTGTGTGTGTGTGTGTGTTATCATCAAGTAGAACTACTAGACTTAGGGATACGATAGATCAGACAGACTTCGCCTTTCTTGACTACAGAACTGGAGCAACCGAGGCTATAAAAAAAGCTATTATGATGCGGATGGGAAATCCTACGGGCATCGTTGAAAAACAGGTCAGGAGTTTTTTAGGCGAGGCAATGGAAACTATTCCTACCCATATGGCTCTAAAATGAGGGGACCAGTCGATCCAAACCTGGTGAAATGAATTCATTACTACGCAAGTTCCAGAACTTAGTTTATAAATGTTCACAGCAATAAATATAGCGGAAATAGTTTTTCAAACATTTAATAAGGCTTCTTCCAATAAAACGTGTTTAGGACGACGTTCATCCACGTGATTATCACGGAAATCTTAAGAAAAAAACTTTGTATTAACGCTTTTGCCACGTGGTAGTCGCAACTGCCACGTGGTAGTCATGTGACCTTCACGTGGCATGCTTGGTTCGTTTGAGTGGATTTTAAAACATGTTAACTAGGGAATAAGGCTTTACATGACTGAGGTTGACACACTAATTGTCAAGGTGGGCAATGAATTACTAAAAAGGAAAGACCAGTTTTGCTGTTGCTTGAACGAAGATATTTACCTGCAGTTATCCTCTCCATGCTGAAATTTGCAAGTGTCCGACCAACGGGAGTAGCAGTCGACGGCCATGACACAGCTCTTTTTCCCATCCTCGTGTACGTGACAGGTTTGGTGAGGTTCGCAATTGAGTCCGGCCTCCTTGCAAGCGCTGGTGGCTTCCGCGAAGCTGAAAGTTTCTGGCCAACGCTTGAACATCCTGTTAAAAAAATACGAATGATTTTTAGTTTAATAGAGGTGCGCAAAAGGTGGTCATAACAATTGCTATGTTTTGCATAGATAACTAGATGGTGTTGATGGGTAGCCATTGCATATCCCTGCACTTCCTCATATTGTAAAGAGTAGCTCTCCCTCAGGGACCCGATTCCCGTGATACCTCTGACAATGCCTGGGTCCAAAAGAGAGAGAGAGAGAGAGGGAGGGGGTATTTCAAATTTTCAACTAAAATAAACTAATACAAACCTTCCTGTGGTCACTTCATTTCTGACAGTGGAGGCAAAGTGCACCTGTTCTCCCTGAGGAAGTGCTGTTACCACGCCTCCTTCATTGAGATCAGGTACTGCATGGACAGCAGCACGACACACGGCGGACACCTACAGAGGACAGATGAGAATGTCGTTCTCATGATATTTTAAATTTTGATTCAAATTTTTAAGCCCTTAACTTTACTGGTTATTTTCTTTCAAAATTTGTCAATTTAAAACACAAAGAAAAAATTTGGTAACTTACTTTTCAAAACGTTACGAACCAATTTTTTTTATGAAAATGTACTTTGGCGGATTTTGTAACTCATATTTCTCAAAACTGTTGAGCACTCATCATATGCTAGGGTCAGCACTTTTCCAGTTTTCTAGACTAGCTTTCAAGTGCCAAAAAGGCAAATTTTTAAATATTTGGAACCCTAACGTAAAAATATTTTTAAAAGCATTTAAAAAAACTTACATTGCTATAAATGTCAGTTCCCCATACACCTCCTCCGCTTTTACATCCGGAAGGGCAAATGACTCTGAAAAAGTACAGATTTTGTTATTAACGTCTTCTTTCTTTTACATCGGGCCATAGCCTTGGTCACATTTAAAACACATTCTCATGTTGATTTTTTTTTCCTTTATAGATAATATAGAGAACATTAAATCTCATACTGGACTATAGATCGCGGTTTAAAGGTGCACACCGCGGGATTTCCTGATATAAAGAAATTTTAGGGGTTCTCTTCAAGCGTCTGAAAATCCCCCAGCCATATATGTGTTCTGTAAAGCTTCTTATATTTCTTATTTTAGACGCTTATGACTATCAAACCCTTTAAATAAAAGTTCATCAGAAGCGCACCTAGTGCTGTTATTATTTTTTCAGCATTCTCAGGTAGCCATTGCCAGCTTGTAACGTTTGTCTTATACACAGTGCCGCGTTACAAACAAGGCAATGCGCGTGGCGGCAGATGTCTTTCTATTTGACCAGCCAGTCATTTAAAACATAGGTGTTTAATTAAATTGGAACAACAAATCTAAGTGCAGGATCGGGTCAAGCAAAAAATGGAAAATTCATTTTGGCGAAAAAAATCCCGTGGAGAGCATCTTTAACCTGTAACAACTTAGTCCTTAGTCTTAATCCTACACACCTGCAGGGACCGTCGCCATAGTGAGATTTACACGTTATGCCCCAGTATATTCTGCAGTCCAGCTGCAACACACAGCCCAGTTTTCCGTCACCGACATCTTGGCAGGTTTGTTCAGGGCCACAGGGTGTGCCTGCAGTTGCGCATGCGCTGGTGGTCTCCACGAAACTGAAGGTCTCCGGTTTCGGCTTGTAATACCTGAATTATGATGAGTGAAAATGAGTAGAGAATTTAATAGTTTAATCAACACCACTGATATTGATATTTATTATTTCTATTAATTTCACCATCATTAAAAATATCATAAAGGGGCATAATTAATACTTGTTACTGCGTCGTAATATTTATTTTAAAATGTTACATTTACATATATAAGCCCTTTAATATTTCTGTAGCAAAACTTTTTTACTTAAAAAATCTTCAGTTAAATATTTCTCAAAAAGTAATGACAAAAAAGGGACAAAGACGCATGGGGCGAATGGTTTTGACGGAAAGCGCAAGGCAATAACAATTTCAATTCTTATGATCTACAACACTGCATATACATCATTAATGATGAAATAAAAGGTCAATACATACGCTCCTGAACCAATTTCGTTCCTGACGGTGCCGGCGAAGCCTTGTTGTTGTCCTTGACTGAGTACATTGACAACGCCGCCATTTTTCATGTCTGGAATGGCGTGCGCCGCAGCACGACAAACTGCCGAGTTCTGGAACATATATTTTGTTCAGTAAAAAAGTTAATTGACCAAGAGATTAAACTAAATTAATTGATTAATTAATGGTAAATTAAACGTTTTATTTAATTCTTAATTTATTAGGCACACATTTATTGAATAGACATTGTATTGCCCATACGTGTTTATAACACTGACAACAGTTAGTAATCGTCAGTAATCTTATGTATTGGCCAATGACTTACGCTTGTGTAGATATCAGAGCCATAAATTCCTCCTCCGTTTTTACAACCCTCAGGGCATAATACTCTGAAAATAATACATCAGGAAAGATGATTGATCTTGAAGGATATGTAGACTAAAAAAACTTTAAAAAAAACATAACTTTGGGGAATTTTCAAACGCAGACAGCATACCTTTGAGAACAGCACAACAGAGTTTATCTATTCAGTCATTGATATTGAAACCCTCACCTGCACTTTTCCTGGCCGTAGCGTACTTTACAGCTGTCCTCCCACGTCTGTCTGCAGTCCAAGGACAGGACACAGCCAAACTGACCATCACCAAGATCCTGACAGGTCTCGAACGCCTCACATCCTCCGCAGGCCTCAGAAGAACGCGCGATGCTGAAGCTTTGATCTATGTCACCGTAATGACTTAACAAATAGAACAAATTCGGTTATACAAATTTTGAAATGACTCAAACAGAGTAGACCTCCCCCCCCCCCCCAAAAAAAAAGACGATGTAATCCATCGAGAATATTGGGATACCCGAGTTCAATTTAAACTTGTAATCATTTCTAACCCTGTATACTCTAAAATCGATTCAATAAAATTTATGAATAACTGTTTGAGAAATTATATCCATTTACAAACAGGCAAACCATCGCCGTTGAAAATGTACCCTCTTTCGTTGGGTTGGCAATGAAAAAAAAAAAGAAGGAAAAGATTTGTATATGTGAAACACCCACCCCATAGTACCAACACCGTTCCTGTGTGTTCCAGCTAGTGAAGCCTGTTCTCCCTGAGCGACGACGGTGACGATTCCACCCTTGGCGAGATCGGCATTGGAGTGAACGGCTGCACGGCAAATAGAAGATGCCTAGGATGAAAGCAAGAAGATGATCAGAGACATTGAAAGGAAAAAAGGTAATAAGGAAAAGACACGAATGCCTGGCTGTTTTGTTGTATTTATCTTAGGCCTCATCCCCAAAGACACCAACTCTACGAGGACTCTTGCTGAATGCAATCAGTTTAACAGATGAACACGCCTCCTCCTGGCTTTAAGTAGAGTACAGAAAAGCTGGTGATTATACGAGTATGTGGGAAATAAGTGGGAGGTGTCATTCAGTTAAGCTGATTGCACTTAACGAAGAGCTGGGTCGAGCCACGTAGACCGGCGGTGTCTATTCGGACTTGGTCTTAGGGTGCATTCCCAGAGATTTAGATTTAGATCCAGAGATTTAGATTTAGATCGACCTAACTCCCTGGGGGTTCACGCTAAATTGCAGTCAGCCGAGCGGGCACCATAGTTAATTACCCCCTTACAGCTTTTAGTAGGCGGGACAGACGCTTAAGCCGGCCAAGCTGACAGTAATCTAGTGAGACTCCCCACAGGGATAGATCGAGCTAAAAATCTATGGAAATGGGGTGTTACAGAATACTGATCCCGATTGTAGACGTGTAAAAGTATGAAACCTAAAAATGACTGCTTTCTTTTGTTTTCTTTTGTGTGATCTTGAATGGAATTCGGTTAATCTGTCATGAAATAAATTACTTACAGTGCGGTATATATCAGTCCCCCACACCGAACTACCTCTCGTACACCCGGCTGGACACATCACACTAGATTAAGAAAACATGACAAAAAAATCTTGGTTAAATGAGTTCCTCCACTCTTTGCGAGAGTTCAGTGCTTGCACATTCTCCTAGGTTGTGAGAAAAATTAAATCTAATACTGGATGTTACGACGCAAATAACACCTAGATTCAATTAACACTGTACGTACTCCACGCTTTTTCTACATGAATATTTTATGTAATTAATTTATTCATTTACTGCAATAATTTCGATAATATTTTGGTACAGATGCCCAATGACATAATTCTACGTATTTAACGTACAGGCATGTTCCGTTCCTGTTGTAATCCTCACAAGAGTTGTCCCAATTCGCATTGCAGTCAAGCGGAAGTACACACGCCTTTTTGCCATCCCCGACGTCGGTGCAGATTTCTCCAAGTTGACAGCCACCGCATTCATTCTCTTCCTCCAGAAAGGCAAAGGACGTCGATCTGGCTCCGGTGCTGAAGGATAGGAACAGGTTTGGTATATTATGTAATTTGTTTTTAATTTCTAACCAGAATATTTCTCGATTTCCACTGTTCCAAGTTTTGAAAGTTCAGGTTAGTCGGTGCCTGTTTTAATAGCATCATTTGTTATATATAGTGGCGCAATAGCTGATGGTGCACTGAAAGTTATTAACAGAATCTGTTATTATGCCGTATATTGCCTTAAACTTCACGTGATTTAACACGTGTTTGGAATAAGATTTGGTGGAAACGCTGGTCTCGTTACATTATGCATTTAACAGGTGTTTGGAAAAAGGATTTTCATTACGTAATGGAACCTTAGGCAGGGAGGTGGGATGGGTTTGAAAGCACATTTTTTTGTCGGAAAATGTCCGCTCAGAGTCAAGATTTGATTTACATACTATGCCATTTCTGAAGTTTGGTCAAATAAGGGCATATGCAGATTCACTCCCCCCCCCCCCCCCCCCCCCCCAAAAAAAAAAAAAAAAATGCCGGGTACAGGCCAGTTAATGTACGTAAACTGTGACCTGGTACAAAACATTATGTGATAATACAAAGAAGTAATTATCTATACTTCCTTGGTATATGCAACCGCTTGTTTTTTCCAACCAAGAATTATATGTTTCATGGAAACGGATATTTACCTAAATTTAAGAGGAAAAGACTTATATTCATTTCCCTTTAAATGCTTGTTATTTCCAAGCCATGATGGTACGTTACACCGTGTCCACCATGCTTAAATCAGACCCTTTTCATGTCAATCAAATTACACCATTAAAACGGGAATGAAGACTATTTAAAGGAAGGTAAATTATCCATTTCACATGAAATGCCTATAATTGCTGTCCTCTGGTATAAGACATGTAGGTGGTGATGGTCCGCCTGATTGCAACATTTAGTTAGGCGGGTGGTAAATGGTTTCGGTAGTAGGAGATGATGACTTATTATGTAAATTACAGAAAATAAGAACTGTGTTTGGTTATAGAGTCATATACTGGTGGTAATACGGGTGGGGTGCGATCTTTCTGATCTCAAAAGGACGGGAAAACGGCCGGACTGACCGACTGATGGAGAGAAAGAAAGAATGAATGAAGAAACAGACAAACAGACAAACAAACAGAAAAGTAAATTGGTGATCTTGTTACGTTGAGAACTTAAAAACATCACAATTTAAAGATAAAGCAAGTAATTTCCGAAAATTGGGGTCAATTTGTTGATAAGTGGGAGACGCGGGTGATGATGGAAGCAATAATTTGTCCAGAAATCTTCTCATTGAATGCCAGTATACGGGTTTATGACATGATGAATTGTAGAAGAAGCCGTTAATTGTTGAAACAGATGTAGTTGTAAAAGAAATACAATACAATACAGTACAGCCTACGCCATGAAAATTTCTCATCCACAAAAGAGGATCAATTCCTTAGAAAATATCTTGAAATCATAATGCTTTTCACGAACTCCCATTCATCTGTGAGATATGGAGAAAACGAAACTCAAAATTCCAATTAGCTCTGTATGTATAAATTCAAATTATTGTTGTTTTTTTTTGTTTTTTTTTTTTGTTTTCTTTTTTTTTAGGTTTTTAGATTTTCATTCCAGGTGAAATGACCCTAGTCATTTACTCCCTGATGATGGTGACTGACAGTCACAGAAATATTGGAGGTAATACCCACATATTTTACAAGCTCTTGATAAAAAGAAAAACAATAATTTGAATCAAAATTCCAAATTCACTTACGATTCTGAGCTGATCCCGTTCAGTGAGCTTCCAATGAAAAAACGTTTGTCCTCCGTACCCATAGCTGCGACAAAACCACCATCGGTGCCTGTGGCGTGTACATAGGCTCGGCAGATGGCAGAGTCCTGAGAAAAAAAATAATATGGTTTAATTAGCCAATTCAATATGGAGGAAGACTGGGATGATCTGATTCACCACGTGGGACCCAATTGGTGGCGGGTAGATCAAGACAGAAACAGGTGGTTTAGGTCCAAGGAGGGTTTCCTCAGTGCGCGGTTCTACCTTTATTGATGTATTGATTGATTGATAATACAGATGAAGGGCCATCTATTGTCATAAAAATAAAATGACAAAAAATAAAAAGATATATTATAAATGGAAACTGTTGGGAAATTATATAACGAAAAGGATGTGACTGTGAAAATATTTCAGACAAGCTGTTTCGACACAATGGCATGGAATGTGTTACACAAGGATAAACAAAATGTGGCGAGTGTGTTAGTTGTGCCAGTGGTGTGTTAGTTGTGCCAGTGGTGTGTTAGTTGTGCCAGTGATGTGTTAGTTGTGCCAGTGGTGTGTTAGTTGTGACAACGCTGATTGCGTTTGGTGTGATAGAATGAAATGGTTGCATAGAACTTCAGACTACTTACGCCAGTGTAGGTCCCCGTACCCCTGATTCTTTCTCCCAGATTGCATCCCTTAGGGCACATCACACTGAATGGCAAATGATTTGACAAAATTTAATGATATTTATTTAACAATTTCAAAGACGTTTTTGTTTGTAAATTTTTAGTCTTTACAATGACGGAATCCAACTTTCATCTTTGTCACAGGATTTTCAGTCTTCGGTCCTAAGTTTAGAACAGCTTGTTGTTAAACTGTCCTAAATATACCATATATCCATTTCTGTAACCCTTGCATGCCCTGGCATTGACAGTCTGTGTGGTTACGATTGTAAACATATTCCTATGAACATCAAATGAACAAAATGACGATGTTCCCTTACTAAGTGTGCAAAATCTGTGTATAAACCCCTGACAAGCCATATTAACCCTTAAAATAATTAAGCATATGGCAGACAGGTTGGGAGAGTTCAATGTTTAATTATTTTATAACCTATAAAATCAGATTGTCGAACTCCTTGATTAAGGACGAAAGCTTTTAAGGCAGCTCGTAGGCTACTTAAATGCAGCAACACACTTTTAAAATAAAAATAATAACTAAATATACGAACGCTTCGAACCTTATTGAATGTAAAACAGAATGCAACTTTCTGCACGTAAAAATGAACACCATGTGAATTAATTGTAAATATCACATCGTATATTGCAATCTACATCGTATTAACTTCGTGTAAAGCTCTACCTACTTGCACAAGCTGCTGGGGAACAATTCTCCGCACACTTCCTCCCACTTGGTGAAGCAATCAGCAGGTAACGAACATTGCTCTTCGCACCTATGAAGAGAAAACGTACAGTTTAGAATACATATGTTGCTCATTATGATCTTCATGATGATTGACAACACTTTGACGCGTTACGTTCTTTCATTTTGTAATCCGTAGCTTTATCAGACTACTTGTTTATTCGTTCTACTTCATTCCTTCGTTCATTCCTGTACTAATCAATTAGTTTTTTACTAATCATGATTTGAACATTTATCTGTGCATTCCTTTATTTTATTGAATTTAATGTCAGTTAATTTATTGAGTTTTATGTCAATTTGATACTTTTTTTACAAACGACGTTCATATTCCTGAAGACTGGCATAAGAAAATGTCGAATTAAAACACACATACACACACACTCTAACACACACAAACACACTCAAGGTATTGCATGACCATCTCTGTGTGGTGGGATCAACTATATCCGGAAACCATCGGTTGTCTTTGTAACCACAAATGAGACACGGAATTAGCCGAAGTTTACGGAAAAGGTGCGACCGATTTTTTCACAAGAATGACCCAACGTAGATGAATATCTTTGTTTCTATTTTACTTTCATAAGGCTGGAGAACTCAAACTCTGGCTTATCGTAGAGCTGTTATCTAGGCGCTGATTCATTTTTAATACGGATAAAATGTCAGCAGGCAACAAGTGACAGTGACCCCCTATACTCACTACCTTGTTCAGTTCCTCCCCAAAAAACATGCATATGCACAACACTGGTGAATGTACAGAGCTACATGTATGTTTTTGTAATTCAAAACCAAATGTTGAATTTCGTGTGTATCCGTTGTCAATAAGGGGGTTTGAAACATTATATGCTGGGCACAGGCGAGAGCGATGAAAGCCATGCACGCGAAATAACGTCTTTGGTAAGCTCTGAAATCATGCCCCGGTTTGACGAAAGTCAGGGCCCATGTAACCATTACATTCACATTGGTTAGGGTTAACATGACGCAAGTTGGTCATTTTTTAGACGGAGCTTACCCGTACAAATTAATGGAAACCGGAGTTCGTATTTCTCAGTCTCAGTCACGTCACTCCGACCTAAATGTCTTTATTACTATTTATATCTGCTTAATTTCATTTTACCATTTTACTTTACTTAATTTTACTTCATCTAAGCAAATTTACTTTACTTAACTTGTATTGCCCACCCTGGCCACACCGCTAAATGAGGCAAAGATGAACTGATCAATGTGTAATGATTAAAACTGGATTTAAATATCAACGATCATACAGAGACTAACTTACATGTATTTTCAGTCAACAGGCAGTCGGATTGATTTTACCGACAAAAACGACAATGTCAACAGCAGAAACAATTATAAACTGTAACAATGTGGACAGGTGGCAAATATTCATTAGGTAACAGGAGTTGCTGACCGTTACGATGCTGATCGTTATTGTTCCAGTTTTTAACCAGCCCGCCCCTCCGCTGTTGTTTTCGCACCGGTTTGTCGAGTACGGAGTCCTCAAGATCACAGGTCTGTGATGTCTTAGATGGAAGTTAGTTCTGAGATAAAATCTTTGATACGATCTTTCCTACGCTTTGGTTAACTTGGTCGCTTCCGCCTAAGACGGGAGTTCCAAGGTGTGTATAATTTGCTTCATCATGATTATTAATCAACTAATGAGGTTTTGCAAAATTTGACTAACACTTTCGCCTGTGTAATCCTTTACATATGTGCGTGATGCGTGGCTATGATTAAACCTGGTACAGGCAAAAAATGTCCTCACTCAAATAAATTGTTTTAAAATTAATTCTTAATACGTTGAAGATGTTACAGAATAATATTTTCGTATTTATTTAAATGCGCAACGTCAACTTAACCATTCTCATCCATAAAAAGGCGTGGATTCTAAATGCGTGCAACAAATTTATTTTGTCGTTTTCGTGGTCTTTACCGTTTATATATATATTTTTTCATTTTATAATTTCCCTTTTTATTCTTAAGAACACGGCGAGGCTTAATGATTTTTTTCTTCATATAAACTAATATTAAACCAATATTAAAAACTAACTGCGCTTCAGTAAAAATACCTGTCTTGCTTTTATAAATATGCTACCGTCTCTTTGTAAATAGTTTTACTTCATCTACTTACCTGGCTCGCAAAATATACACAGCGACGAGCAAAGCGTACGCTATCGCTTTCATCCTCTTTCTTCGTTCCTTTACTGGTTTTCGAATCAGTAGTCAGTTTGTGTTGTTCTATCCAACAGAAATCAGCGAAAAGTTGGTTCACAAAGATCAATTCTGAAATTTTCTTTGGCAAGTTTTCGGCACAGAAGGTAGTCAGTACTTGGGTGCTACCGCGCCAAACGGAAAATGACCTCTCAAAGCACACTCACTCTCTTTTCGTTCAGCTATCTACTGGTAAATCAGCGATCGGATGAGCATGCGCAGTCCCGTGTCAGCAATCTACTGACCTCAGGTTTGTGAGTAGTTATCTTTTCTCTCTTTCTCCTCTGACGTCATCCACGCACTCAATCAGAAGAAATCTTTGTGGTCCGTTTCACAAAGTAAGTTTAGACCGAAACTTCGTCTTAACTTTATAAGACCGAAAATCTTGGTACGCTTCTGTTAGGATAAATCTTAGCTCCACTAAACCATTACTTATCATATGAAAAGACTCAAGTTTCCTCAACTTGAACTACCCGCACTTCTAATTTACTGGATCAAAGTTTATTGATGATATTAATTTTAAAGTCAAGACCAACATTCGGTCGAACGTTTCTTTGTGGAAACATCCCCCTATCTTATTGCCATCAGTGACCCGCAAGGATTGTCAACCCACACGTGTCTTCCCGCATCTACTTACTGCCGTTCGCGGAAAACAAGACCCGTTATCTCATAGCCGAGTTGGTTGCAACTACCGCGACTTCTTCCTGCTTTCACCGGCCCAGCGACGCGTACCGAACTCGCTGTCCGTAAAAAGTTTTATGTTTGAGACTATGGTCATGGTATTACGCTTATGTAAACATAAAAATGTGTAATAAAGAAACAGATAAATTGATAAATAGAAATAGATAGATTGAAATAAAAAAATAGAAATTGATGAATAATTCAAGTTTTGCGGTGATTTAAGATAAGATTATATAAAAAATATCAATATTGCAATCTGATTAATGTTTTTAGGTTCACAGATTTGTCGCAATTTACACAGTACTTGGCAAGGTTCATTTATCAATACATTTTAGTGCACATTTGTTTAAGTTTTTCACACCTATCCGATCACATTGTGTAATTCAAATTAATTTTGAATTATTATTTTTGTTATTCCCACTCTAATTCATGTTGATATAAACACCATTATTATGAATATATTGTTAAAACAATCAAAAATAATTTTTTTGCAGCAAAACGGCACTCTATAAAGCATATTCATAACGGCACACCGGTGTCACAGTTAAATCATAATTTCTTTTCACCATAGTGGCTATTATCCACTAATCTAAGATAATTAACTGCCAGGCGATCTTATTGTCGGTTATCTCAGAGATCTGTTCTACTTGAAAGCCCGTGACGTCATGGTGTTACGTCATCAGCAGGTCTCCGGTAAGCAGGTACCTTCAGTTTGGTAATTATCCTAATGTGCGTCATTGTCTCAGTACAGTAGAATATAGTGGCATTCCCTGCGTGTTGCATTCGCTGAATAAAGAGAGGAAAACAGGTTTTGGAAATTATTGGGCGGGGTGGGTAGGAAGAGGGGGTCATTAATGATACGGGTTTTTCTTCTTCATTGTCACATTTTTATGAATGCCCGTTTGATGCGATTTGAATATGAAGCTACAAACACTGGAAATATTGTCGGTAGAAACATCGCTTTATCTTCAAAACATACATGTATGTCATATTTTATCCTAGTGGTGCTTCAAGAGGAGGAGCACACCAATGATTCTGATTCCAGCTGAAGGACCAACTTTCATTTAAAGCTAAGATCTAATATACCGTTTATTAGATCTTAGTTTAAAGTTATTTCGTGAAACCTGTCTCGTCCCCTGGACTGAGCAGCGTCACGCCGAGTGTGCTGTGACCATATCAACCCTTCACGCCGCCGCAGTCATGCAGACACTTACCTTTAACCAGGGACGCGTACCATGACACTACTTTATTTAAACAAAACATTCGGCTAAACATCGGCCTATCCCTTTTAACTTGACGATAAAGTTTATGAAACAGTGCCACAGTAACATTTCCTCAACCAGGGGTCTTCTCATTCTTCTCTAGTTGTTACACAATTAGATGAAGGTCTTTCGTTCAATTTGGCACATTCAGCAAGACCTCTGGTAAAGTGAATTTGCTGCCCTCCATTCACTGTCGTATCCAAGATGTTGCTTGGGGTGGGACAAAAACTGCCTTTCCTAGTTTTTTTTTTTGGTAGATATATAATTATATGTCATTACATATTAACAATCACACGTTGGGATCAGGGATGAAAATTGCTTGGGATTCTCTTGTTCTTCTTGTTGATATGTTTTTTTTTAATTGTTTTTTTTTTGAGGGGGAGGGGCGCCCGTGGCCCACTTTGTCCGCTCTCCAATTTCCCATTGATCTACTCTCTTTGAATTGGTTAAAATAAAGTATACAGCAGATACTTCATTTGCAATCTCATCAGTAATAATTAGTAGGCCTTTTGATTAATTCTGACACACGGTCTTGTCTTGAGGTACGGCCTTAAGGGCATAAAGGTCTCCAGTAAGCAGTTACCTTCAGTTTGAAGGATTAGTTCATAAACCATCAACGACATTATGTTTTGGAGCTGCTTTTACTTGAAAATAAAAAGGGTGCCAGATGCTTTAAACACTGGCGCCGTTTTCTGTACACGCGCCCGCTGTTGGCGCAACACAAGAACCATTATGTTTCATCAATTTTTTCTTTTATTTATTTATTTAATTATTTATTTATTTGTTTGTTAGTTTCTTTGTTTGTGATTTTTTTTTTGCGCTGTACTCAGCATTGTTGACGGCGGTAGGGAAATCATAGCAAACTGTCATATCAGATATCCCTTGCCAGGTTATACAGGTGCTAGTGTCCTAATACTTACGTCATGGCACGTGCGTTATCGTCGCGAAGCACTGGGTTCTGCCACGCGTGGATTGGCGCTGTTCCCGTTCACTGACCACCTGGCAGCTTTGGTCTGCTGGACAACAACGCTTGACCAACGGCGGGTGCCTCCGATGTCAAAAACAACGAACAACGATAAGTATCTACAACAACAACAACGCCGACTGAAGGAGTTCAAAAACTTGTTTGGCGATACTTGGCTTCACTGTTTGTGCTGACGAAGATTGGAGTCCAAGATACATTGCAAGTAAAAAGCATTTTTATCAATTGAAAAAGTAGATATTTTATAATCAACCCTTATACGGTTTCAATCATTTTAAAACATACTCTAATTCCTACTCATTTTTTGCTCCAAGATCTTGTCCGTTCATAACATTTTAAATACTGAATGTAGATGATATTATGTTGGAATACTGTAGGTAATATGATAATTACATTCTCTAGTTTTTCGTGTTTAGCGACATATGATATTTCTCGAAATGTAAAGCATAGTTTAAAATTTTCGAATTCCCTTTTTTGATTCGAAAGAATTATAAATTCAGAAGTTAACTGCTCTCCCCTGACTCACACTCCCTCTATCCCATTATAATTTTAAAATAAGTTATTGCGGGGCGGGAGGGGGGGGGGGAGTGCAGTTACACAGTGACATTGATCAAGGTTTATCCAGGAAAAGCTAGTTAAAGATTTTTCCCATTTACTTAATCAATATTATTTTTCATTTGTAAAATAAATAAATAAATAAATAAACTACCTAATTAATTTATTAATTAATAGTAAATAAATAAATGCTACAAAATCTTATTTACCCCAAATTATGGTCGGTCACGCTCATTAACCAGTGTATCGATTTGCAGTCCTCATTTTCCAATAATTAACTGGACTCAAATATCATAAGGACGTTGACCATTTAGCAGGTGCGCCAACAACGCATTGCAGAAGTGTTGAGGACCCAGCTAAGTCTTCCTTTTAATGTTTTAACTCTACAGAGTTAACAGGAAATCTAAAATATGCTGCGTTTGAACAATCTTTATTGCAATAATGTCTATCATCTTTTTACTACCGTTTGGGGTTCTCTCATAAGAAGTTAACCATATGAAAACTAATGACTGCCATAGATTCTAATCTAAATACTAGATTGAGAACCAAAATCTGGAGATCATAAGGCAGACTACATTGTAGACCTCGACTAATGTTACCATCTCCTCTATCTACTCACACCTCTACAAAGTTTTACTAAACAAACAAACATACATAAATACTCATGGAATTGTCTGTACATACAATTTACATAACTCACCCTGAGTTTCTAAGTTTACTGGAAACTGGCAATTATTATCAGTATACCTCAGCCAAGTTTCTAGTAATATAAACTCGTAAACTCAGGATGTCATAAAATGGCATTTTGTGAAGAATGTTTCTTTTGGCAACATCTGAATGAAAAATACTGCATTTAAACCTGTACTTGCCAAGAAGAAAACATTATTTTAAAAACTTTAAAAAATTCAACATATAATAATAATAATAATAATAATAATAATAATAATAATAATAATAATTTAGAAATGCAAATTAAAACAATACTTCTGATTTTCCTGAAGAAACCTATTAATTTGCCAAAAGGTACTTTTACAATACAGAATTGGCAATTTATTTATTTATTTTTTCAAATACTTATAACATCAGAAATTATAGTTGTAGTGCTTTTCCTGGTTGTAGGTCAGATACAATGAAAAAACAATTCAGTGAAGAGATAAGAATATTCTTTGCAAACATATAAGATAGAATATCCCAACCTAGAAAAACAGAGATCCACATCAAAGCAGTTCAATTTTCATTAATTAATTTATTAATTAATTGATTGATTAATTAATTGATTAATGGACCACCACCAACTTTCTGGCCTATCCTGACAATTGAATCAAAACTCATCCACTTCTCGAGTTATAAAAAACAAAACAACAAACACTAAAACAGAACCTCCATGGCAGAGGTACAAACATTTCAGCTCATGTTCAAATATCAGAAAACAATATCATTCCTGCACATTTTTCCATAGTTAAATTTTCATCTCCATAAAATTGCATAAAATTTCTCATATTTATGCACGTATTGTTTACATAAAGACCAGCACAAAGCGTATAATACGTCTATTGGAAACATGCCAAGTTGTGACATGAATTAACTTTGAACAGTTGTTTTTTTTTGTGCTTAATTACTTATTTTAAACCATTGGCTTGTATCTTGAATGCTTAGCAATATAATCAATAGATTCTATTCCATATTTCATTGTTTGAAAATCGTATTAATAAAATCACAACACAGACAGGTAATACTCACGAGTAATTGGCTTTTTTCATAGAGTCTGGTCACTTTAAAAACGGACGAACGGTCCAAACAGCCATCTCCACCACGGGGGGTGGGGGTGGGGGGGGGGTGGGGGGTAGGGTAGACTAGATTAGACATACCAGTCAGAAACAAAATTTCTTGTCATTGCAAATAACATTAAAGGGATAATAATTCTTCGTATGAGATCTATATTTCACAATAAAAACATTGTGAACAACTCATAGAAATATAATACATTCTGTTATACCACAAAAACGGCAGTTATAGCTATTATTCTGATATCTGAGCTTGTCTTTAGACCACCTGACCTCCACTGATGGCTATACTCTGTTAAATATCTCTTAAGAGATTTTAACAAAAAAGCAAACTTTTTTAGAAAAAAAAAAAAAAAAAAAAAAAAAAAAAAAAGGGACTAACTTTGAATGTAAAAATGGATTCATTAACCATTGGTAAGTATGGGAAAATTGTTGTTTACTCCAGGAAAATTCGTTTTTTGGTCGAAATGAATAGTTATTATCCCTTTAAATATTTTTGGCAAATTCCTTTTCAATAACGTCATTATTCAGCAAATTAAGCAAGTACAGGCAGTAACAGAAGTACCAAAACAACACTTTTTCCATACAAGACGCAAAGTGCTTTGCAACAAGTGTGGCCTCTCATAACTTCAGTAATAAGTCAAGGATTATCTTTTATAAGTGTCATCATAATAAATATTTATACACTAGGAACATGATGACACAAGTCACAAACATTCCTCCATAAAGAATGAATTTATCTTGGTACGTTCTTCTCTCAATTAGTCTCATGACAGTGTTGGACAACCCCAAAGTGTTCACAACGTCCAGAATTTTGCGCTGGGCGCCCTTCAGCGTACCCCTCTGGTCTCGCAGACTTGTCAGTATACTGTTCCCACTGCCCAGTAAGTTGTCCATGTCCCTGTGGGAGGACTGGAGACGGTCGTGGTGTTTGACGGCAGCGTCTATCATGACGGAGGTGTGGTCGTCGTTGGCGGTGAAGGACTGGCTGAGGAGCTCTTCGCGTTCTCGTTCTTGTTCTTCCTGCTTGTATCTGAGAGCAGGATAACAAATGCAAGAGTAAAATAATTTCACACTCTTTGCTCTTTTCTTTTTATCCCTTTAGATAATTGCTTAAGCTCTTCTACTGGATGATATCTAATTAAATCTTTAGAAAACAATATGGTGTGTATGTTTTTGCACATTTTACATTTGTTTGGCGTTAAAGCAAACTGTATTTTTTCTCACTGTCTCTCACTCACTCACATTTCACTCTTTTTTCTCTTCTCTGGACACAAACAAACACTTTTGTTCTTTTTACATCTTCTCTCTCTCTCTCTCTCTCTCTTTCTCACCTGCGATGCTGCATATTTCTCAGGGCCACCTGTAAGTGCTGGCAGTCATATTTCAGCTGATCCACGCGAACCTTGGCATTGGGGCGTCGCGTAGGAGGTTCCTTATTCACAAGAATGTCTAGGCGCTCACAGTGGCTGACTATCTGGTCTATTCGGGCCTGTATTTCATTCTCTAGTAAATGCGTCTCCCCGCCAGCTGCTCGTTCTAGGCGACCAAGCTCCGACTGTACCTCTTGTACCAGCCGGTTAGTTTGGTGGTACAAAGCGTCCATTTCTGCTATCAGTGAACCGGACCAGCTGTCTTATGAATTACGAAAAATGCAAAATATTTAGTTGATAACCTTAGTGTTACGTTCAGGGAAATGAGACACATAAAAATGTCGTCATTTCATAAAGAACTTGCGATCGACGTGTCCGGAAAAAACGACCTTGAACTTTGGAACTGCTCCGCAGATTTTATAGCTGCTACCAAATATTTATTGAAATTTTCATAAAGTTAGATAAATAATTTACCCATATTAAAATAAAAACTATTTTATACAATTTTAAAAATATGAATGGGAAAGTTTGGTGGTTATTTACTTATTTTCTTTCGAAGAGCAGGAACGGAGTAATGTACACAGAAACGAAACCGCCGACTGAACAAAACTGTCGCTGTCTTTTTTATTGAATTATTGAATTACTATAATATGTTGTAGGAGCAAATCTTACTTTGTGCATGGTTGATGTTCTGAAACGTAATAGCATTGGGTAAAACTGGTGATGCCGAACAGAAAAGACGCACTTTGGGCAAAACAGGTATGTCCTAACAGGCCCGTAGCCAGGGGGGGTTCGGGGGGGGTTCGAAAGAACCGCCCCTTTTGTCAGGAAAAGGTCCATTTTGGGTAGAATTTTATCTAGGTACACACAAGTTTCATTGTAAAAGGTCCACTTTTTCCGAAAAAGAACCCCCCAGGCCCTTTTGAATTTGCTGGCTACGGGCCTGCTTATTATATTTTTTTTTGTATGGTCAAATTGCAAAATTAAAAAATACAGACATGTACAGTTCATTGCTGCCTGCCTCAACCACAATTTTGCAATGTCTTGTGTAGATTTTATTTATAAAAGATGGAGAAAAACACCCTGGTGTTTGGTAATTTGAATAAACATTAATTCCTATCATGAGGAAAATCGTGTATTATTTTCATGATACTATGATAGAAATTAATGTTTATTCAAAAAGAACTCATGAAACTATTTCAGCAGCAATGTCATTATTGTCGAGGACAGCACATAGGGGCGGAGAACAGAGTGACAGAGTTTAAACTAGGACGAGGGAAGACACGGCATGTGTCACGCATGGTTAGTGCGTGAACTTCAGATACTTTTAGATCTTGTACATGTACTTTCTTTACACTGAGCAGTATGCTTAGAACTTTGTAATAAGTTCTGTGGACTAACAGATCTGTGGATCAAATATGGCCAACCCACATTAAAGTAGAGCTGACTATAATCTGCTGATGGTCTCCCCGCCTCCCTGTCGGGGTCTGGCAATTAAACTTCGGTGTTGTGTTTGAATCCCTTTAATGGGGAGGTGGGGAGACCATCGGTGGATTGCCGTTGTTGGCTCTGCTTTTATGTCAGTAAGCCATATTTGATCCACGGATCTGTTTGTCCACTGATCAACTTGTTATAAATGCCCTCTTAGACACACAGTCCGCACTGATTCACAATAGAAGATCCAAGTATCAACTGGTCCAAGGATCAAATATGGCAGACCCTACATGGAATGGAAGACTGCTTCATCCTGTAATGGTCTCTCTGCCTCTCACGCGTCACCCCTGTAGGGGCACAGTAATTAAATCTCAGCTCCATTTGACTGGATGTGTAGGGAGGCAAATGCCTGGACAAGGTGATACTCGGATCTCCTATTCTGAATTCTGAATGGCCCCTTAGAATGACAACTTGGCACCTGGGCTATTACATAAGAGAGTCACCTTAACGAAGCATTTGCAATCCTTTACCCAGCAATTAATTAACTATCAAACTAAACACCTGGAAGGAAACTTGTTGAGAATTTGCAAAAGGAAGTAACCCCCATTCCTCACCCACCTGAAATATTATTACTAGTACTTTAGGACTGAGATCTTAAATTTAATCCTAGGAAAGTTTTCATTCCAATATTGTCCTGTAACAGCAACAGTGATAATTCATTTTGCAATACGATATAAATTTTTGTAATGAGTTAATCTAATATTGTTTACTTAGTAATAAATAAATTAATAGTAGTTAATAAATCATTTTTTATCTGTAAGTTTGTGTAAGGTAATATTTGTCATTATATTTAAAGGTTGGGGTGTATACATGTGTCTTCCTGAATACTGAAGGAGGAGACCTGTATATTATATTTAAAGGTTGGGATGTATACATGTGTCTTCCTGAATACTGAAGGAGGAGATCTGTATATTATATTTAAAGGTTGGGATATATACATGTGTCTTCCTGAATACTGAAGGAGGAGACCTGTATATTATATTTAAAGGTTGGGATATATACATGTGCCTTAATCCTGAATACTGAAGGAGGAGACCTGTATATTATATTTAAAGGTTGGGATATATACATGTGCCTTCCTGAATACTGAAGGAGGAGACCTGTACATTGGAGTGGATGACAATGGTAAGTGTAAAGTGTTTGTCCTGTAGGTACATGTCAGGGGCCGATTGAGGCTGTCTTCTGGGTCTTCCGGAAGACGGTCAAATTTCTAAGTTTACATTGATGAGTACCTAATTTTTCTGTCGGAAGACGGTCAAAAATGGAGGATGGATCAACAAAGATCATGTGGAAGACTGTCAGAAAATATCTGTGGATCTGCCCCTGCATGTAGTATAAACCAGACATAAGTTTTTTTCCTTAGTAACACGGAATTCCGCATTTTTTAATTCATTTGTGATGGTTCTCGAGATTCCTTAAGATCTGCAATAAAACGATGGTAGAAGAGTACAATTTCACTGTAATGTGTGGAGAACAACAGTGGGAAATCGCTTGGTTGTGGCTTGTTTCACTTCATTTATATATGTATGTATGTTTGTTTCACAGTCATATGTATTGCAACAATGCAGGGATTGTCCCAGCATGTGTGTGAATATGTATATGTGTGCACATGCATGCATACCTTAAAATGCATCAGCAATCCATCTCGTTTTTTAAAATTATTATTTCAAGGTATTGTACAGGGGATTACATGCAACCAGAGGAGAGAAGATCAGTTAAGGCAGAGTATAGATGGTATCATTAAGGGCATGAAACCTGAAGTGTTTCCTGACATGTATCAGGTGGACTTTGTACCTGTTTATAACCAATCAGGGGCACATGGTAGGTGGCGCCATCTATCTTTGATTTAGAAATATGATGGCCGAGGTGTCTGCTGTGTTTTAGGCAGCATAATACATGTATTTAAGAGATGCTTGTTGATTTATCTGTTTGGGTAGACTGGGTAAAAATATGCCTCCTGCCCCACCCTCTTTTTGAATGGATGACATGGTGTGTGTGTTGGGGGGGAGGTGGGGTGAAGCTAGAGACAGCTCCCAAATGGGTGGTTTTGGATTTGGCGTACTGGTACCTTGGTGATTAAGGAAAGTGCTGAAATTTTCAGAAAAAAATTAAGTTTTGCTACATGTGCATAAAGGTCTGATGCTCATTGTACGTGTAATGTAAACATTACCATTACATGTAAGTGTGTAATTGTCTTCCAGTGCTGCGTGATATCAAAGTGATACTGGTGCAGGTTGTGCTGTCACAGTGTAGTCGTCTATTTGAGTACAAGGGGCAGGTGTACATGAGAAGAGAGGGCAGCATTCAGAGACTGGCACCACATCAGATACAGGCATGGGTGGAAAGGGTATGTGCTAAAACCCCCCTTTTACACTGGATGGCATCCTTTTTGCATCCTGCATAAGGGCCCTGTTTGAGAGTAAAAAATATACTTTATGTGCTGACAACTGGCTGAGCATTGAGCATTCATTCTGCAGCCACCGTGTTGCTTGTGCCTCCTTTCTATGACCACAGCGATGCCCGTTTCATGGTCACAGAAAGGACGCCGTCTACTGCAAATTAAGGGTGTTTAATTGGATCATTATAAATGAGATGATTGCCTTCTTGTTGAAATATCATGTTGCAAAGTGTAGCTTACTAAAACATGTTTAGTTTTCTTAAAATAAATCATGTAACACAAATATGGTGTTTGATGGTATCAGTATAAAAAAAAAAAAACTTCATATTAAGTTTATTATACTGAGTATAGACCTGACGGTATATTTTAAGTCATATTCATCGTTATAAACTTGTATATTCTAATATGGATTTCATTTTGCATGTCCATGTATATACAACAGCCAGCTAGTCTGATTTAAAGTTGTTCATGCATGTTTGTTTATAGAAAGTGAAAGAAGACTACAGAAACAACAGCTTAGGAACAGAGGAGGGCAGGAGGATTAATGGAGATTCCTCAGTCAAATTACAACAGGATCAAGATGAGAGTCTTCATGAACAAGTTATGAAACTGAAACAAAAGGAAGAAGAACAAGAATCATTGCACAGTGATTCCAGTGATGACCTTGAGGAGGATAGGGATTTAGGTCATGATTTCTCAAACTACAACACAGACCTAAGATTGCTACCGAAAATGATGAATTCAATAGATGAAAAACTTGTAGAAATAGAAAGACGATTGGAAGCTTTTCAGAATAATCAAAAAGGTTCAAAGGTATGCATAATTTTAATAGGTAGTGGATGTAATATTTATCCAGGGCCTTTTTATCATCAATGCTAAGCACTGAAAATGGAAAATATCACCAGCATATGTAATTGAAATTGTCCAACCTGCCCCCCCCCTTCCATCAAGTCATACAGAATTGACTATTTGTAACCCCTCAAATTAAAAAGAGCCATACCATCTGTCACCACTCAATATGGGAAAAACTCATCCCATCTTTAAACTTTTAAATCAAATACTCACCCAACCTGTCATCTCTCAAAATAAATAAAACTCATACTACCTGTCACCCCTTATATATATATATATATATATATATATATATATATATCACAAGCGTGAGTGTGGAACAGAGTGCTCAACAGTCCGGAGCATTTGTATACATGTATATATACCATTAGTCCAGTAACTTTTTACTGTTCCATGCTTAGTTACTTCATGTGTCCATGTAAGCTGTGTGTTTATGTTTATGATCCCGAATTCACCAGTAGATCGGACCACACTACCCGTTTTCAAGGTGTGCGTCAGTACGCATTTCACGTATCATACCCTGGAACAAATTTTGAGATGAGATGCACTACTTACCAACCCCACTCAGAATCATCACTATCACATCACGTACTAGGCAATAGCGGTGTCATGTCTGATACTTCAAAGTGCGTACTGATGCATTCCTTGAAAACGGGTAGTGTGGTCCGCTCTACCGGTGAATTCAGGATCATTCGGTGCCGAGTCTGGTAGTTTGGTAGGCCTGGTTATTATAATGTCATAATATCTGTTTGAAACGTGCTGTGTACTACAGTGTTAAACATGAGTCTATGTGTGGCAATGTCAGCATTTCTTTAAGTAAAGATCTTTTAGTAATGTGATTATGTCTTGGTATGAAATACCCGTTTTTTTTTTTTGTTTTTTTTTTGTGTGTGTGCGTCATAATATCTAGTTGTATTGTGTTGTGCCTTTGTAATGAAAGGTTATAATGTATTTTATAAATGGTACAAGAGAGAGTATATTTTGTATAATGTGCTCATTTATTTGCTACGTGCAGTAAAAACTTGAAAATTTAGTCTTGAATTTTTTACTGAAAACGATTCTCCTCTGACATCATTTCTTTTACTTAGAAAATTTTG